GCGGTGAGTGCCTTGTCTTCGTAAAGATATGCTGTCATGTTGAAACAGCGCTGTGGTTGAGTCTAATTATTATTTTTTTGGCGGGACGTCTTGAAAGCCGGCGGGCATATGTGGCTCGCTGTTCAGGACGCTGGCGAAAGTCGCGGCAGCCAGAGAAAGGTTTTCGGAAGCGTGGTCGGCAGGTAGAAATGTGCGAGGAGGGCACAGAGACGGAGGACGGCTGGGTGGGGAGGAGGGCAGGGCGTGTTGTTCGGACATGTCAGTGGAGGAAAGGTTGTCGCACGGTTGAGAGCGTTTTGATGTTTGGCAAACGGCGCAGGTTAGTGAGGCGGATGATGCCGAAAGTCAAGCCAGCTCTTCATCTTTGCCCGCGCTGGATGCATCTCTCAGCTCCACCCGAATGCGAAAAGTTCTAGCGTTTCTGCTGCAGTTTGCCGCTGCAATTTCTCGCGCTGGCGTGCCCCAGTGGGCATCCGCCGCAATAGAGTCCGGCGAGCAGACTTGGCAATTGCTGCAGCATGCCGGGCTTGGGGGCGGTGGCAACGCTGCTAGTTTTTGCAGGCAGCTGGCAGTGCGGTACCTGCAGCAGGTTGGACTGGCACGCGCGCCGCTTTTGTTGGTTGGCGACGGAGCCTCTGAGTGGGTGGAGCGGCTACTGGAGGGGCGAAAGTGCACAGCAAGCACGCTCATAGTGGCGCAGGAGCCGTTGCGGCTCCGCGTCTCTGATCCAAGGGGCATCGTTGCTGCAGTTCGACTAGCAGAAAGCACAGTGCGCTGGCCCTATGGCCGTGCAGTTGATCAGGCTGTGCGCCGGCGCCAACAGTCTTGGGCGCGGCTTAGCAAGAGGGTGGCAGTGGAGCACTCGGTGTGACAGCAAGCGTCATGATTTTTTCACATCATCGGCAGAGCTGATGTGTATGCTTTGCGTTCTCCAAGAGCGTGCAAAGCACTCTACGAAATCGTACATGCTGTACTTGGACCACATATTGACGTTATAAGAACACTGACGTGAGCCAACCCCTATTTGAAATGATTGTGTGGAGAAGGGCGCACGAGTTCCCCGCCAGGCCGGAAAAACAAGTTTGGATCGGCTGGGCTTCTTCCCAAGATACTTCTTTGCCAGGTGGGCCCGACATCGCTACATGTAGGGCTCCAGGAAAAGGGGGGTGTGGAGTTGTCCCGGCAGCAAATTTAAATGAGCCACCCTCAGTCCTGTCAGGTGTCTTCGCCCTAGGTGGCCAGTGATGTTGGTGATGCTGGAGATGCTGGTGATGTTGGCGCTTCTGCGGCAGCGGCCGGGGGGTGGCTCATTTGCGGCGAGCTTGGGCCCGCGGTCAGATCCAAACGAGCCACCCACATTCTAGCTGTTCTCCTCATTTACGGCTGCGACCAACCGAGGCCAGAAATCAACCTAACTCGGCGGGTTAGATCGTTTTTGAGGGTTTCCGCAGGCTCACTGGCGGACTATACTTGTTTATGTCGGATCGCATTTGGACAGGATGAGCGACCCGCACCTCCGCAGAATGGATTCAGGCTAGTTTGATTGTCTGTTTGGCATCTGGCTTATTTGTTATCGTATTTCATTTTTTTGGCTCGGCTGTCGCTGAGTAACACTGACGGGAGTCAACCCATATACACGGATGGGCTTGCAGACGGGCAGTTCTCAATTCGAAGATGCGTGCGCCAAGGTGACTTCAGTCAAGCCTTGCGTGAAAGGAGCACGCCGCATCCGGGCTTCAACACACAGACATTTGACAACTTCACATGAGCAAGCAGGTGACAACATCAGCAGAGGTTGGAGCAGTCGGGTTTTCATGAAGACTGCGTGGCTCCAGCAAACTCTCGCCATTGCTGGGTGTGAACTGTCATTTTGCACACATCTGCCAGCTTCAGGAACTTTTTTGTTCTACTTTCCAAAAATAGGCTTGGGGCTGGCTTCTTTGCCACATGAAGGGCTTCGGGAAAGCGGGGTGGCTCATTTATTGTGGAACTGTCCCGGCAGCAAATTTCAATGATCCACCCTCAGTTCTGTCAGGTGTCTTTGCCCTTGGCTTGCCCTTGGCTTGCCCTTGGCCAGCGATGTTGGTGATGCTGGAGATGCTGGTGATGTTGGCACTTCTGCGGCAGCGGCCAGGGGGTGGCTCATTTGCGGTGAGCTTGGGCCCGCAGCAGATCCAAATGAGCCACCCTCATTGCTGTTGTTCTCCTGTCGCGCGCCGGCTCAGCTGCTGCCTGTACTTGTTTAAGTATACCTAGAGATTCGTTGCGGCATAAATTTCTGCCGCAAAACAAAAAAACACCTTTTTGGATTTGCGGTGTTTCTTCCTGATTTGCGGCGTTTTTTTAGAATTGCGGCAGAACTTTTTTTCAGTTTTTTCTACCTCCCGATTTGCGGCGGAAATCGGCGGGAATGCGGCGGAAATCGGCGGGAATGCGGCGGAAATTCCCGGAAAGCAAACGGTGTTGCGGCGTTTTTTGTTTTGGTTGCGGCATTTTCTTTGTTTGCGGCTGATTTTCTAGAATGCAGCGGGAAGTTCCGCCGTAACGCGTTGCGGCAGAAATTTCCGCCGCAGGAAGTTCTAGATATTCTGGCACTACCATGTTCTAGAGACAAGCCGTCAAAAGGTGCTGGGGAAGGGAACTCGGACCAATCGGCTCATTTCTTCGTCCTTTTTTGAGAGAAACTCGGAGCCGGCTTTGCGTTCACGGCGAGATGGATCGCGGCGGCCTGCTTCGGATCTAGTTCGATCGCGACTGCGTTTACTGTGCTCAGCAGCAAGCCTCGGCCAGCTTGAGGGTGAGATCGCGGGTCATTTTCATGTTGTATCCAGCAAATGCCTGTCACTGGGCACCCTTGTCAAGCAGTTTTGGGGCACAGATACTTTGTCACACACACACACCGAGCGTGTCCCGCGTTAGTCTGTTTGCAACACGAATCTAGCACACGGCCCCAATTGGCAAAACACCCTTGCAAGTCACATGTTAGGCGAGCATAGATCCTCACGGACATGATGTCGGCCAAAGGCCCCCCCCATGAGGCTTGCTGGCTTGGCAAAGGGGCGGGCGCCCTTGACTGGTGACGCGTGGGCAAAAAAAAGCTGACTTCCGACTGGCCCCCTGTTGATGTTAGTTGTTTTTTGTTTGGGGGGTGTCGCGTCCCTTACAACATTCGCCCACTTTTGTCACAGGGTATTTTCTTTCGAGGGGCCGGCTCCATGAAAACACACGCCTTGACACAGATATTTGCGTCGGAGTTAGTGCCCAGTAACAGCTTCTTTTGTTTTGTCTCAGCCTACTGTGACAGACCCTTTGAACGTTTGTTGTTGGAGCGGATGGGCTCATGTCATAGCAGGGGGAGAATGGTAAAGGGGCATGCGCCCTCGAGCCACGTGCTGCGCACCCTCGACACAGGCTCGCGAGTGGCACGTGTGGAACTGGTCCACCCACTCTTGTCAGGGTATTTTTTCAGAAGGCCTGGCTCCATAACAAACCGACTTGGGCTGGATTGGCCGTGGTAGCTGAGCGAACCCCTCTACGCACCTGTCAGAATTGGACTTGTCGACTTGTCGAAGTCGACCTCGGCAGACATGTCGGACGGCCGGCCCTATTGGACTCATCGCGCGCGCTATAGATCGAGCTTTTGGACTCGCCGGACACTTCAGACACCGCGGGCCCTGTCGGACGCCGCGGGCGACCCTACGTCAGACTCATCGGACTGTTCGGACTTGTCAGACACGTCGGGCGTCGCGGTCGGCCCTACGCCAGGCCTGTCGGACTCATCTCGCAGCGCGGGTATCGGACGCCACAGACTTATCGGACTTGGCAGACGCCGCAGACTTGGACGCCGCGGACTCTATGTCGAATGGATCGGACACTCGTCTTCGGCCCCGTAATTGCGTCGGACTCATCGGGCTCGTCGGACTCATCGGACTCGTCGGACACGTCGGACATCGCGGACGGCCCGTTCCCGTCGGACTCATCGGACTCGTCGGACACGTCGGACATCGCGGACGGCCCGTTCCCGTCGGACTCATCGGACTCGTCGGACACGTCGGACATTGCGGACGGCCCGTTCCCGCGGACGGCTCGGACACTCCTTGCGGCCCTACGTCGGACTCATCGGGCTCGTCGGACTCATCGGACTCGTCGGACACGTCAGACGTCGCGGACGGCCCGTTCCCGCGGACGGCTCGGACACTCCTTGCGTCCCTACGTCGGACTCGTCGGACATGTCGTACGTCGCGGACTGCCCGCAAACGTCAGGCATGTGGGACTCGTCGGTCGGCGCGGACCAGGGACAGTTCGGACTCGGGTCGGCTCGGACACCGACGCCTTGGGTCGGACAGCACGGACGCCTCGGGTCGGACAGCTCGGACGGATCGGACGGATCGGACTGGTCGGACAGCTCGGACTCGGGTCGGCTTGGACACGGACGCCTCGGGTCGGACAGGTCGGGCGGATCGGACTGGCCGGACGGCTCGGACTTCACTTTCTTTGAACATTCAGTGGGCGAGCCCGGCCTTACCTTGGAAAACCTTGACTGTCTACTCGGCAAGCTCGGTCCCACCTTGGAAAACCTTGGGCGTCTATTTGGCGAGCATCCCTTTCTAAGGATTGACTTTTGAATGGAGCCTCCTTTTCCAAATAGACCTCAAGTGTCCATCTTACGGCCCCCCCCCCCCCCACGTATCAGACGTCGGGTGGGGGGGGTTAGGGGGGGGGTTATCCTCTATCCTCTCTTAGGTGTCCGACATGCCGAGCAATGTCGGCGGATAACCAACCAACTCCTCAAATTCATTGCCAGATCGCTTGCAAAAACTCAGGAACTGAGCCTCTCAAACCCGGGGAAAAACAAATACGGGTGTTTTTTTCTTTAAGGGGCAAAACCACCCAAGTTGCTGGCGTTGCTTCTTCTTGGAACTTCCCTTTAAAACCACCGGGGAAGAAGCTGAGCCGCCCAACGCGAGCGGTCTGGACCCCCGGCGAGCGAAGTTCCGAAGGCGGCGGTCGGAAGCCCTTCGTGCCGGCCCCAGTGAGTTTTGGAGTCGGCTGGTCCGGGCTCCGAAAGATGTTTTTTCCGTTTTCGGGGTGGGGGATTTGAAGAGCACCTTCTTTGTCTTTGTTGATTTGAAGAGCACCTTTTGGGCCGTTCAAATGACAGCTCCCTCTAAGAGGAATATAGTTTCCTCTTTGTTGTTGTTTCTTTTTTGGGGGGGATTTGAAGAGCACCTGTTGGGCCCGTTCAAATGACAGATCCCTCTAAGAGGAATGTAGTTTCCTCTTTGTTGTTGTTTCTTTTTTTTAGGGGATTTGAAGAGCACCTGTTGGGCCCGTTCAAATGACAGATCCCTCTAAGAGGAATGTAGTTTCCTCTTTGTTGTTGTTTCTTTTTTGGGGGGGATTTGAAGAGCACCTGTTGGGCCCGTTCAAATGACAGATCCCTCTAAAAGGAATGTAGTTTCCTCTTTGTTGTTGTTTCTTTTTTGGGGGGGATTTGAAGAGCACCTGTTGGGCCCGTTCAAATGACAGATCCCTCTAAGAGGAATGTAGTTTCCTCTTTGTTGTTGTTTCTTTTTTGGGGGGGATTTGAAGAGCACCTGTTGGGCCCGTTCAAATGTCAGATCCCTCCAAGACTCTTTGTTGTTGATTCTTTTTTTGGTGGTGATTTGAAGAGCACCTTTTGGGCCCGTTCAAGTGACAGATCCCTTCAATAGAAATATGTTATCCTCTTTCTTTTTTTGGGGGGATTTGAAGAGCACCTTTTGTGCCCGTTTAAATGACAGATCCCCCCGAACAGGAATGTACTGTCCTTCTTGTTTTGTTGGGGGGGTGTTTCAACATCAGCTGTTAGCCCATTTAGATGAACGATTTCCCGCAAAGTGGAATGTAATGTCCATGTTTGGGGGACTTAAACATTGTTATTTGGGCCTTCAACAGAGATTTGTCTTTGAGTTGGGTGATGTTTAGGAGGGAATGTGAGTGGACAACCTATAGGTTGTCTTCCTGCATACATCAGATTTCCGGCTTCTGGTCTGTTTTCTCACACTTTGCCAGTTTCCCCAATGGAAATCAGCGAGGGGATAGATATGGGGTGCATTTTTCTGGTTCCCCTATATTGACGCATGCCATAGGATCATATTGCTGCGGGAAAAATCAAGGGAAGCTATGGTTCCAGTTGTACAACAACTTGTTGCCGGCCCCGTTGCCCTTTCGAAGCAAAGAACATCGGTCCAAACCTCGATGCTTGGAGAGGGCAGAAGAGAACAAGGCCCCAAATGACACTCAAACCGTGTTGGCGACATATCCTGTACTCCTTTCTTCCCAGGCCCTAAACCATGTGTTTTTCTTTAGCCAAAAAAAACATACCATGAAACAGAAGGCATACCCCACAAGGGCCCCACAACTTCCGCAACATCTCCTTCACAAAGTTCCGGTCTTCTTGGGACCCCCCCGTCCAAGAAAAACAGTGGTTGGGACCCGACTGCCCTTTCGGCGAAAGAAAAGCATCACAGGGTCCCAGTGAAGAAAAGAAACTAGTACTCAAGGCAAAGGAACACATTGTTGCGTCTTTTTTTGAGGCTACGCGGCTACACCATGTTTGTGGATTTCAACTGACACCAAAAGGACGAGCGCTTATTTTTGGAGTACCCCTATTTTGAGACACACCCACACAATGAATACCTAATTTCATTCTAACCCCATCAAAACCAGATATGTGTTGTGATGTAACAACAGCCCGTGGATTAAAACCTAATTCAAAAGGAGAACCCCAGCACCCTCCCCCCCACCCCCCAAACACTGTCCAAAGGACAGTGGTTGGGACCCGGTGCTGGTTTGCAATCGTGTGCCTGTCGCTTTGGTCCATGGTAAGAAACCCCGCAACCGAACCACATACCATGGCCCCTCCCCCTTTTGGGGGACGCCGCGTCACCGGCACCTCATCCTCCCCCCCGGCTACGCCCCCGCCGTCCCCCCCCCCCGGCGAGCGAGGACCCAGCGTTGTTCCTGGCGGCAGGCACCAGCAGCCGCTGCCTGGTGCAAGTCCTCGCCTGGCCGCTGCACCCTGGACACGCCCCACGCGGAAGGGCGAGCTGGCGCCCGTTTTGGGCTGGTTTTCTCACACTGAAGCCGGCGTTTGAGAAGGCTCGAAAAAGTGGGCTTCGTGGTTTTGAAGGGAAACCACGAAATGGAAAAACACACGCCAAAAAAAACGACGAAGCCAGGTTGGGGGGTCCCCTAAAAAGAGCATACACCCACACCAAACACAAAACACCGCCTCCACAAGGGAAAGGCTAAAATCGACCCAGTCTTGGCGGCGTGGAAATGGGTGCGGGGGGGGGGAAGTTTGGGGGGGGGGGGGGTCCAAACGGAAAAAGTTCCATGAAATTCGGACGAAGGTTTCGCCACGTTTCGGTTGCACCACGTTTGCCGTATGTTTTTGCCGCGTTGTCGTTGCTGATGGCTTGATGAGTCTCTTCCGTTACTTGTTTGTTGCATTCTGCCGCATCACCGTGTGTTTTTGTTGGTGACATGTCTGTCCATGTCTTGGCTCTCTTAGATGCACGTGTTTTGTTTTTGCTGCATGTTGCCCCATGTTTTTACATTTGGACTGTTTGAGCTTGACCCTGTCAGTGTTCGGTCCCTTGTTTGCAACATTTGGCCTCCTTGAAAACTCATGTCTTGCTGATGTTTGCCACAGTGCTTCTCCTTCGCCAAAGTTTGGACGAACCTGTATCAGGTCTTTTGACGATGTATGTCACGCCCTTTGAGTTTTAAGGTTCAAAGGCTGTCTCGCTCAGTGCAACTAAGCGCATGGTGTATTCTTTTGGCTGTCTTATTACCAAGTTGTATGAGATTGCTGCTGCATGTAGAAATGAAAAACTGACATCTCCTGTACAGACTGACCAGTTATACACAAGTGCCACTGTGAGGAGTACCCTCGGGTCTTGGAGAATCCAAATGCGCTGTTTAGCCTGAACGGCCCTTTTGGGCTTCCGTCATGTCAAAACGATTAATGGGATTTGATAGGATTAGTTGCGTTACGATCTCGGACCAAATGCAGCATGCTATAACTATCCAAAAATGGTGTTGGTGGCCACTCTTTCCTACATTCAAGAACTCCCGACACGAAGGCATGAGGGTAAGGGAATGAGTGAATGGGAAAGAGATGGAGGAAGGGAAAGAGTTGGCAGGTAAGAAGTAAGTGATGGGCCAACTCCTTCATTTCCCTTCCTCTCTCCATCTCTTTTCTCTATCATTTCCATCATAACTTCATTCTTCTAAAAAAGACTTGTCCAACAACGAAGTGGAAATGATAGCCATTCCTTTCCATCTCTTGCAGTCTCCTCGCTAATACTTGATTGGATCCGGTGATTTTGGATTCTGTGTAGGATTAAATGTCCACTATGCTGATCTCTGCTAAGCATATTGAATCCCCGTTGCTTGCATTGGTATAAAAGGACCACCAGCTACATTTGCAAATGTAACGTTTTTTTCTACAAAAGCACTGTGCTAAAATTGCCCTACATTTGGCAATTTTCTGCACGTAGCGTCATTTTTCTACAAACCATGCCACGGACCTACACAGCGTGGGGCTACATAGGATCAAAGGTGAAAATTGTTGTGTTGTCCACTTTTCTTTTGAAAAAATGTAGGGGGCCCAGGCTACATCGTAGCAAGAGGAGAGTTTTTGAAACATTGAAGCGAGGCAAGCCCACTCGAACCAAACCCACTCACCGTTCCCCTCTTTCTCCTCCGGACTCGAAGTTCACGTGTCTCCCTAACAATTTTATTGTGTGTGCTTGGTAAACGTTGACAAGTTTTGAAAAGGCATACATGGCAACCCAAATTGGAGAAGATGATTCCCCAGTGCTTCCGAGCCGATGACATTCAGGGCAACTGATGATGTGCACGGCCGGCTTCGCTGCCTGACCACAACTCCGTGATGACCTGTCGTCGTGGATAACCGAACCCTCCCTCCCTTTCGCCCCCTCCCTGTGTTGCACAAACACAGCTCAAAGGGTCTCCTCGTACAACAACGGAGTCGGCCCTCTTCTTTTACGGCGCGCAAGCTACCAAGTGCTCCTTTTGAGAGCATAGCATACTGGAACCCACTGCGGGATGCATACCAGAGCAGCAGTCGTGCAAAGCAATCCGCTCAAGTAATGCGCGAGCATGTTAGCCCGGGACGTTTTGAACTGTGCCAATCAAAAGATATTCCCCGAGCAACTTGGAAAGCTAGACGATGCCAGTGCGGTAAGTGCATTCTGCTTGCTAGATGGCGCGGCAACAAAAAACACGAATCTCCGGCATCTTCTTCTCACCAGTGCATGTGGGACCGTGAGGCTGAGCTCAGATCCTTCAGATTGGGCCTTGGTATGCCGCTGCACATACTGCCTGTGCTGCTCTTCGTCATGCCGCTGCTGCTGTTCCCGAGCGTGTTGAACGGCACTCTCTCGGAAGTGCTCGTCACGCACTCTGTTGTTCTCGCCAGAGGCGCGCCTGATGTAAGCAAGCGGTGATAGTCATCTCCGAGCAGAAGATCGATGGGCTCGAGATACTTGGCACGCTCACACACGGAAATTCGCGAAGCCAAGACCTTTGCAGGACAGTAGGGCTTTTTCTTGTCGTGAATGTAGGCCGACTTGTGTAAAACCCAATCCCCACAATGATTATCGGATTGCGGATCACACGATTTACGGAAATTCTGAAAACTAAGGAAAATGCTAGCAAATCATTATTGTTTCATCATTGTTCATCATTTTCATCATTTTTTCAACATTCTACACTGCCGTTTCGTCATGAAAAACCAAGGGCTACATTCAATTCCGTGTGTTTGTAGAAAATGGGGCTAGAAAAGAGCCATGTAGCATCCAGATGTCGAAAATCACACGCTACATTGGCTGAATTGGCCCATTTTGCTGCGTGGCTTTGAGAAAAATGCTAAATAGCTGTAAACATTATGGGAAGACTTGTTAGTTGTCCCCCTTGCTACTTATATTTCCATCGGGTCTTGAAAGGCTGGTTCCCTTTTAGCCAGGCACATGGATCGACTGGGCTTTGCAGCACGTCGGATGTCGGATCTGTTTGGCCATGCAAGGTATTTGCACGTCACCGGAGGGCCCGGGCTGAGGAGAACTGAGCGGGGCACATGGGGTTTGAGGTGGTGGTGGGGCGGGGGTTGTGTTTTTAAGGTGTCGTTTTGCAGGAATCCACTCGTATGTTTTTGCTATAGTGTAAAATGAATGGTTTTGGGGGGGCCGGAGGTAAGGGCCTCAATTGTTTACCTCCAAAAACGGGGCCGGCCCAATAACGCCGGGACCGAGCCTCATGAGCCAAAGGCCAAGTGGGAGCAACGGCCTTCTGATTCGTAATGCTTTCATTGCACAGTATTTCGTGAGGGACATACAGGTGCATCATTGTTTGAGGCTTGGTACCCCTTGGATTGGTTTACAGGGAAATGAAACAAACATCACCTATTTTGGGGGGGACCCCTATGTTGATGGTCATTATATATATATATATATATATGTTGTATGGTTGCAAGTTGTCCCAGCGAGGGCTGAAGTGCGAAGATTGCCCGACAGGAGCTGCGCGGCGGCGGGGCTGCAGGCGGTGGGCGCGGTGCTGCCGCTGGCGGCCTTCTACATCGCCGCCAACGCGCTTCGGCGACGATGGAAGCGTTGAGTGAAGAGAGGGAGGGGAGGGAGGGGAGGGGAGGGGAGGAGAGGGGAAGGGAGGGGGGAAGGGAGGGGGGAAGGGAGGGGGGAAGGGAGGGGGGAAGGGAGGGGGGAAGGGAGGGGGGAAGGGAGGGGGGAAGGGAGGGGGGAAGGGAGGGGAGGGAAGGGGAGGGGAGGGGGGGAAGGGGAGGGGGGAGGGAAAAAGGAAGAGAGACAGAGCTTGGCTGTTCTTCTGGGCCTTTTAGACTGGAGGGGCAAAAATCAGAATTCGCTTTAAATGGAGAGATCTCAAACTACATGAGATTTGAGTCATGTATAGTCACTACGTGACTCCACCGCCTTGCCCGCAACGCCTTCAGCCTGGCACTACTGCGTTGCCCACAGAGGCAGAAGGCGTCATAATACAGCACTTTGCACTGGTTGTAATTGTGAGCTTGGTTTTCATGAGAGAAGGAGAGAGAGCGCCAAGCGTTGCCCACAGAGGCAGAAGGCGTCATAATACAGCACTTTGCACTGGTTGTAATTGTGAGCTTGGTTTTCATGAGAGAAGGAGAGAGAGCGCCAAACCACAACTTGGCTTGCTCTTCTTCGGGGCTTTTTGCAGTGGAGGGGCAAAAGCCGAACTTGGTTTTCTGACTGGACTTCTGGATTTACTGATGCGGGGGGGGGGGGGGTTGTGACACCTCCTATTGAATGCTCGACTTTTAGCGCAAACCGGACTTAGCAGTGCCCGTCCATAGATGTTTGGTCATTGGGATGCGGGATGTGTGACATATCGCGCGGAAAGTTGAACCGGTTTTGCTCTCCACCAAAAAGAGAGGCCCCACCACAACGATGAGGTTTCAGCCCACTTTGAGTGCATCCCTGGAGTTGCCCTAGGGCATTAAATCCGTCGGATTTTCCCGTGCCATGCCTACAGAAAGACGGAGCCAGTTTCCACATGAAACTTCTGAGGATGAATTGGGTGTAGTATTTGCGGGGAAATACGAATTGGGACCACAATCAGCCTTTGTTTCGTAGGTGGAAATGGTTGCCTCAACCAAAAACTATTGAAAGCCGGTTTCATGTGAACCATGTCCAAAGTTCTTCAAACGTCCAAGGCCTCCATGCCTTTCCAACTCCACATGTCCAACACCTCTCGCCGCCCTTTTCCAATCAGTTTCGCTACTTCCGACAGCAAGCTACTTTGTAAGTGGTTAGTAACCCTGGTTCAAGGCACCTATCTAAGATGGTCTCCGCCACCAACACCACAATGCTCCATTGGGATTTAGAGGCCTGGCCCATTTTTGCGTCTCGCGCGCGCCCAAAGGTGGCGCTCAGCATAACGGCCCTGCTCATGGTGCAGCAGACCTCTGCAGCCACCACCGTGCTGGCGAATGTGGCACCTTGGGCCCTGCCTTGAGCTTCCTTGGGGCGTTTGATGCGACCCAATGCTTGGCTTTAAAGGCAGCCCAAATGGCAGGGGTCCCTACCCCTTTTTTGCGGTTTTAAACACCTTTTTGGCCCATGGTTGGGGTGAGTGTCCCTTGGTGGGGGTGATGTTTTGAGGGGAAATACAGGGAGCCCTGAATGCCCATGACACGGACCTATGAAAGCCCCAGGCGCCCAAAGCGGGAAGCCACACCTCGTGGGGCCCACCTCATTGTCCCCACAAAAGGGTGTGGGAAAATCGATCGCGTGGGGCCGCCAAAAGGAGATCTGTATGGATGGCGCCCATTTGCTGACTGTGTTGTTCCCAAGCTCTTGGATTTGAGTATCACTGGAACTACGGCGTTATTTTATCCGGTGGACGTATCAAACGGAGGACCTGACGGCTTTGGCCTGTTTTTCTTTGCGCCTGGTGGATTCCATGTGGGTTTTCCTCAAAAAGCGCCTGGTGGATTCCAGCCGGTGGCTTCCCTTGGGGGTGATGAAGTCACACGCCCGCTGGGGGTTGAAATGGAGGGGCCCCAAAATGGCGAGCGTCCTGTGCGCGTTGTCTTGAAAGTTGCTTCCCAAAAAGAAGGCGCGCCGACATGGTGTAGTCAAACAAGTGCAGAACAAGAGTGGCTTGGTATGAGAAACGAGCGCAAGGTACCAAACGAGTATGGGGATGGCCCACATTGGAAACCAAAAAGAAGCAACCAATTTCCGCAACCCGCGTGTTTTTTGAGCATCTCAGGTACTTAGCCCCGGTGGCCAAATTTGGACGAATCCTTTTGGGATGACCGCTTTTTTGCGGGCGAAAAATGGGGAGCCCTGCCCGGCAGAGCCATTTTCGGGCAGTTTCGAAGTGGGTTGTGAAGCGTGACTCTATGCCATTCATCTGCCTAAATTGATGGCAAGCTCGCCGGGCATGGTAAGGATCCTTTACTTGAATATTTTGGAGATATTGTTTAAAAATGCAGATCCAGAAACTGAGCATCGCTTCTGCCCACCCCACGCCTGTGAGCACAGTAGGACAGCCCTGTACTTGGGGACGCGCCAGCCTTAAGGGTCTCCAACCCTCGAAACGCCTGAAAATTTGGCTGCGTTTCGCAGTGCGTTTGACTTTATGGGCACCTCTTTGTAACAGCCCACCCTTCCACAAAGATGTCCATCTAGGCTTCAAACATTCCTTTGTGCCCTTGGACTCTTTATGGCGACCTCTAAAGATCTGCCTCTAAGATCTGCCTCTTGGACACCTGCGATATGTTCAACCCGGCGTTTAAAACACCTTAGTGCTCGGCAGGATTCTACGCGTACTCATGAAAGAGTCAGGTTCACGCAGGTTTTAGTCCTTTGTTTGAGTGAGGCGCTGCTTCGGGGATTCCAAATTTCGAGCGGCCATTTAGTTTGCCTTAACAAAATGTACCGGTCATGTTGCACCCTTTTCAAGTCTTGGCGTAACACTTTCCATGTTTTGAGCCACAGCCATTTAGCTCGCCTTAACAAGAAACTACCGTTCATACCCTTTGATTCAAGTCTTGGCGCAACACTTTCCACCTTTTGGCGGGTTTGGGTTGGATTCCAAGCGAGCCACGGATGCCTCGGAACTCGAGGTGGCGCTGCCGCTGAGCGCGCTGCTCTTCTGCCTGCCGCTGCCGCTGCTGGAGCAGCAGGCGTGCTTGGGGTTTCGGCGCAGCCGCGCGGAGACCTCGCCGAGCCCACAATCCGGATTTTTCGGGCGGTCCTTTTAGAGCTTCCCCTGCTTCCATTGGGTGAAATAAATATTTGTTTAATTTTCCCTTGTCAATTTTACAGGGAATCTGTCACTACTGGAATTATTTCTATTTTCCAGGGGCTTAAGCATATGGAGGCCTGAAAAGAAAGCCACAAAATGGGATTCCCTTCCCCCCAAAACAAGACAAACCCTTTCGAAAGAAATGGAGATAATGTTCTGTGGCCATGGAGGTGAAATAAGTTAATCAACATGTCAAAACTCAGCCAGTATAATTAAGATGATCAAGAGGATATGAGGCCATGGACCACCGGGACCCATAGATCGCCTATGAGGCCATGTACCATTGGCTCTTCTTTCACCTAGACGCCCCCGACTCAAACCGAGACGTGGGCCCCGTTTGTTCGCCTCAGGTCAGCTGGAGTGATGTTTGAAGGGTCTTTTCCTGGAGAGGTCCCTTACAAATGCTTGGTTTCCTTTTCGGCCCTGCGTCATAGCAAGCTCACAACAGATCCGTTTCTTGGTTCGACCAGGTTGTACAACAAGTTCACCCAAGAATGGTACTGTTCAACCAGCCCGGGCTGGTGAATTTTGTAAACCCTTAGCCAAAAATGGGGGATGTCCTGTTGTTGAGGCTCAGAACCCATTTTGGTGTTGGTTTAAAGGGAAACCAAAGCAACATGACTCACCTATTTTGCCACTAAAAGTTATAGTCACTTTTGGCGATCGGGGATTAGCATTCGGACACTCAAGACAGGGGGGGGAACTCCGCCCTCTTGAAGCATGATATCCTCCTCTTTTCATCCTTTGAAAGGTATCTGAAAAGTTCGACCAACTCCAGAGCGATCGGTTTTGATCATCACTCATTTCTGGACTCCATTTATCTCAGCGTTTTTTGGGTCCTTGGATCGACCATTTGCATACCGACCGGTTTTGATTGTGACTTATTTCTGGAATCCATTCCTTTGGTAACTGAACTTCGGTTATTTTAGCGACCGGTTCTGCCTCCTCTTCGGGGGTTTTAACCTCCCTTTTTTCTCAGGCCTTCCAATGGCGCCTGGGGGCCAGCTTGCTGCTGGTGGTCTTGGGGCGCCACGGCCTTCGAAATTCGAAGCCTCGGGGAATTGGGAACTTCGGGCGGGCAGGGGTCGATGTGGCAGCGCTTGGGTAGGCTTTGGCTTTGGTAGGTCAAATCTTGGCAGGTCAAATTTGGGCAGATGGTTGAAGTGTTGGTAGGTCAGGGTTTGACAGCTGTTTGAAGTTGAAGTATAGATCTGGTTTTTGCAGTTGGCCGGTGTTAGCACGTTTTGCAAGAGTCGTTTCAGTTTTGGGCAGGGAGAGTTGCGGGCTCAGTGCCACTGTGACTCACAGCCTAAGAAGACTTCGGCAGATTTCACCGTGGAAGTCCGTAGGGGCTCCCATGGATGGTTTCAGCCCATGTATGTTGGATGTTGCATGTGGCTTCTTGTCCGATCCACTTCGGGTCAAGGTATGTCTATCGGATGCTGCCTTGCGCATGATGCATCCTTTTTTGAGGCTACCCCTGTACACCTTTTCAAGTGGTGTGAAAGAGAAGCCAACCAGGACCCAACAACTAGTTGTTTCCTACTTTAGGACCGCAGCACGACATGCGCAGAACGTGGGGCGCATCCGGAAGATGAAGTCGACCAGCCTTACATCAGCTCAAGATGGGGATTCGATTCCTGGAAGCCTCCGCATCTTATTAAAGGAACCTTAGGTGGGTTTGATTTTCTGCATAGTTTGGTCCTACGGGATGTTAAAAGCTCGGATTCACATCAAAGCACCAAACCAAAAAGCCCGGAGCGCTTCCGCTTTCGGCCCAGGAACCTCTTATACAGTCACCGTGCGCTGAAGAGGTGACTCGCGACGGCGAAAGCCGCGCTTCCGCTGAACAAAAGATGCGGGCCGCATGGGCGACAGGTGACTCGAGCGACTCGAGGGGAGGACAGCTTTGTGGGGATGGCCATGGCTTTTGGGCAACCCCAGTGTTTTCAGTTGCTTGTTCGCGCGAGTGTTTGGCCGCGTCCTTTCTTCATGTCGAGCCCCTTTTGGGTGTTTCTGGAACAAACCAAGAATGAGGACATTGTAATCCCCATCGAAACAACCGCTTTCTTCAGGGCATTGGCTCTGCTTTTTTGTTTGTGTGTGTGTGTGTTTTTGCCTCCCTCCCTGCTTGCCTGCCTGCCTGCCTGCCTGCCTGCCTGCCTGCCTGCCTGCCTGCCTGCCTGCCTGCCTGCCTGCCTGCCTGCCCGCTTGCGCTGCCTGCCTGCTTGCTTGCTCGCTTGCTTGCTTGCTTGCTCGCTCCCTCGCTCGCTCGCTTGCTCGCTTGCTTGTTTTGTTTGTCGTGCCTTTTTGTTCTCTGCCTGGCTGTCTCTGTCTGTTCGTTTGTTTGTTCGTTCGTTCGTTCGTTCGTTGATTGCTTGCTTGGTTGCTTGGTTGGTTGGTTGGTTGGTTGGTTGGTTGGTTGGTTGGTTGGTTGGTTCTTTGTTTGGTTGTTTGCTTGTTTGCTTGCTTGCTTGCTTGCTTGCTTGTGTTTTTTTGATTGTTTGTTTGTCTGTTTGTTTGGTTGTTTGTGTGCTGTTTGTTTGTTTTTGTTTGTGTGCTTGTTGGTTTGGTTTGGTTTGGTTTGGTTTGGTTTGGTTTGGTTTGGTTTGGTTTGTTTGTTTGTTTGTTTTGTTTGGTTGGTTGTTAGTTTGTTTGTTTGTTTGTTTGTTTGGTTGGTTGGTTGGTTGTTTGGCTTGTTGTTTGTTTGTTTGGTTGGTTGCTTGGTTGTTTGTTTGTTTTGTTTGTTTGTTTGTTTGTTTGTTTGTTGTGTGTTTTGTTGTTTGTTCGTGGCCTGTTTGCATGTTTGTGTGTGCTTGCCGTTTGATCGCTTGCTTGTTCGTTAGTTGAGTGGTTGGTTGGGTAGTTGGTTGTTTTCTGTTGGTTGCTTGCTTGCTTGCTGGGTGGGTGGCTACCCAAAGGCAGAACACAGACACAAAGCACACAAGACACACAGACACACATGAGCACAGGCCCACAGAGAGAGAGAGAGAGAGAGAGAGAGACACTGTGCGCCGCACGCCCACACACACACACAGGCACGCACGCACGCACGAAGGCGCACTGTGCACGGGCACGCCCACGCACACGCTGACGCACAAGCACACGCACACGCACACGCACACGCGCACGTGTGCACGGACACCAAGACACGGACACACATACATGCATGCACGCATACGGAGACACAGACACACTGCAGGCTGTTTGTTTTCTTCTATGCGGTTGTGAACTGCTTCGAACAGTTTTCAGGGAGAAGGTAGCCTCATGGAGGCTCCCACATCCCTTTGGGGCGCGCACGCCTGCGGTATCGTCGTTTTGGCTCCAGGTTTTACAGTGGCGTCATCGGTCCAACAATCTCCCCACCTGTTCAACGGTCTTGCTTCAAGCGGTTGGGCACTTCCGAAGCTGCTTCAAACACCAATGAGGCGACCATCCGGCGACCGCACGGATTCCAAGCCCAAAAGCTGAAGGAACGAACATCCTGACCCAAGTTGCCAAAGAGACCCAAGCAGTCCCATCCCTTTTCCACAGAGAGCTCTGGGGTCTCGGAGCCTCTTCCTCTGCTTCGGGGGCTTCCGTGGCTTGGGCAAGGCACGGGGCACGGGGGGGGAAAAAGCGCCAGGCGCAGGGAGCCGGGTTTTTGTGGTTGACCCTGTGGGAATAAACGAACGTTTCTGGTGCTTTTTTGGTTTTGCGTTTGTTTTTTTGTGTGGTTTACCCCTGGGTGTTTCTTTTTATTTTTGTGTTTTTTGGTGCTGGCCCTCACCTCTGCGAGTAGAGAACTTAGGCACAGAAGTTCTTCGTTCCATGGAGCCACACGACTTTTTTCAAGGGGCTTGGCAGCTCGAGCGACCCAGGGCCATGCGCAAAAAGGAAAATCACGCGGGGGTTTGCGGTCCCGCATGAAAACATCGTTGTTGTTGGGAAACGCTTTACATTTTTGCTTATTGTGGCTTAGTGGGACATCCCCACTGAACCGCTAAAAGTTAAACGTTTGCTCCCCTTCCAACGTCAACCTAGAAAAGGCCGGGGGGGTGCGGTGCAGTGGTCACTCGCATGGTGCCTGACTAGGGTTTGCTGCAAGCGGCTCCCCTGTATCTTTTGATGCAGTGTTAGGCTCACCATTTTTGACCTCGGATTCCCTAGCTTTGTGGCTCCCAGCCATCCCCTTGGCTCTTTTAGCTGTTTAGTCTTTCGTGGGGGTTGCCATTTTACCCACTAAAGGTTAAACTTTAGCGGGGGAGCTGAGGACAGCCCAGCTATCTAAGGGTTTTGGTATTCCACCCTGAGAATCAACCTGGGTATTGACCCCATTTAGGCACCGGATACAACCGTGTATTATTGTGCAATGGGTAGGCTAATCCGGTTTGCAACACATTGCCATTGGGTCATTTCCGGGTGTAATCCCGTGCTCCGAGGAGCTGCCGGGCCCATGGAGGAGCAGAAGTTGGCGCGGGCCTTGGCACTGGAACCCCGCCGTTTCGTGTGCCGTGGCTCAAAAAACCCGGAAGTCCAAAATGGGTTGCCCGATCGGTAAGTGGAAACATGGACCAAAACCTGCGCAACCGCCCGTGTGTAATTTTGAGCCACACCCATGTGAAGAGAAACCCGGAAGTTCAACACCCAGTAATGTTGACCCAGGATTAATAAACCCGTCCCATTGTTCCCTCCAAAAGTGGACCCCGTATTAATCAACCAGGGGGTTATTAATCCGGGGTTAACATAAAGCAGAGGCGGTGTATTTTGCTTGGATATTAGGACTTTAACTTTTTGCCAACTAAGGGGTTTTCCATGAAACCACTAAAAGTTAAACTTTTAGCACGGGAGCAGAAAGCAACCCCCAGTAGTGTTTGCCCAGGATTCGTAAACCCGTCCCATCTTGGGGGGGGTGTTCCCTCCAACAGTGGTCTGAATCCCCACTAAAAGGGGACACCCCCGTATTAATCAACCAGGGGGTTATTAGTCCGGGGTTAACATTAAAGGAAAGGCAAGGACCCAATTGGGATGACGGCAATCCTTCGGTAAACAATGGTAGTTATATGACCCCCCCATTATTTTCATGGTGGTTTGAACCTTAGGGGAAATGTGTTGTGTGTGTGTGCTTTTAGGGGGAAGCCACGTTGAGCTGGTTTTTGTTGCAGTTTTAAAAAAAAAACGAAAGCCATGATTGCCGGGCCCGTATGTTGGCACTTACTCATGTTAACTATCTAAACAGTTATCATTTATGTATTCGTCAGTGTTTGGGGGGCCTCCTTTTTCTTATTGCGTTTTACGCTATTGTCATTGTCTTGGAAAATATACGACAGGATCAGAAAACTATTTTTGCTGTGTGAGTGTGTGTTCTGTTTCATGTTCTCGCTTGAAGCATTCGCAATGTTCCTGTTGAATTTCCCGTTCAACACTCGGAGAATGCCTCGAAACACGGGGGAGTGCGAGCGACAAGACTGTCCCATACGATGAGCAAACCAGTTCATAAGCGCATTCACCAATCCGGAATATGGAGAGCAAGCGATTTGGCCCACTTCCATGTGCTTAATATGTTTCCCTGATTGTTTGAAAGGGAATCCATCACTACTTGATATACTGTTATAGTTTCCCGCGGACTTAAGCAACTTGCAAGCCTATGAATCAAGCTTCCTCTGCATTTCCGCATTTCCGGCGCGCGAAGTTTGTGCGCAGATGAACAAAATTCCTACCACTCATCAAGCGTTCTGTTCCTCGTCGCTTTGGGGAAAGACCTTCGTTTGCGCATGGTAATTTGCCCAACGATGGCGGTCCCATGCTCGGCCGACAAAGAACCCAGTGCTTCCCAAAGGGTTCTTTGGGTTTTTATTTGTTTCAGGTGTTGTCCCGTTGATGTTGGGTTTACTTCACGTCGAACAAGAGACCAGTTGAGCCCTTCCCACCGAGAACAACACTCTTGGAGTTGGAACTAGTCAAGGGGCACTCTTTGAGTTTTTGTGTTGCGTGCTGATTGATTGTTTAGAGGAGTACCAAAGCGAACCCCCGCGGCCAGTTTGTTGGAGGGCGGCAGCACTTTTTTGTTGAAGCCAGATGCTTTCTTGCCTTAGGCTTCTCTCTACCTCGACTCTTAGCCACCAGCATTTGGAGGGCAACCGCCAAACAGATCACCCGGCGGCCAACACCATTTCAGGGTCCAATAGAATTAATCTTAAAAAAAAAAAAAGCGCCCAGGGTTGTCAAAAAAGAGCATTGTATTTGCTGCGCGCTCTGATGCACCTCCCGCAGACGCTGCAGTACCTAGAAGTCGCGCAGTGGCCTCATAGAGCCTGGGCAGATGTGTGCGACGCTCTTGGCTTTGACGAGTCCCAGCTAGCATTTTCGTGGATCTGCCAGGAGCAAGTCACTGGCCTTTCACACACCCTTGCCGCAGCCACCTTCGGGGCGTTCCAAGCGGCGTGTGCGTTGGAAACGGCTGGCGCCTTGGTGGCCGTCAGGAAGATCCCATTGGCTTTGGGAAGCGACTCGGTCGGCCTTATGGTCTCGACACAAAATTGTCGGTCGGTGGAAGGAAGCCTTGTGAGTAGAAATGAAAGCTAATAGATTGAAACCGGAGGGGTTACGCAGGTTTTGGTCCATGTTTCCACTTACCAGGGTTCCATTTTGGTAATTATTGGCTTTTTGAGCCACAGCCATATGGCGTTTAGAACCCGATGAATCCGATGAAGTGCAGACACGTGAGCGAAGCCCCCTACGTGGCACGCCAGGTGATTGGCATCGACCTGGGCACGGCTGATTCGTATGCCACGCGCTTAGCTGAAAGACCGGCCCCGCGGCTGCTCAGGGTTGGTAGTCTAGGTCCCCCAGTGGTGCCCGTTTACCCCTTTTTGGGGGAGGTTTCCCCTACTAAAATAGACTACAGAACCTTATTCTAACCTCTCTACTGGAGGACCTAGAAGAAACCAACAAAAAGCACTGGATTCCATCACCGGATTTCCCAAAGCTGCCACTTTTGGAGGTTCCACAAGATTTCCCCAAATCACAAGTTGGTCAACTTACTCGTGGTTTCCGTGGAAACGAGCAAGACGCGTGGAGGCAAACCACAGAGGGCAATGGCTCGGAAACCCTGAAACACGTGACGTTTTGGTGAGGGTCACCTGTTTTGAGAAGCAAAAAGCGTGGGAAACGAACCTGGGGAATGGACCTGTGTTTTTTTTTGCCGAAAAACTCCACGCCGGCTGAATCCAAGGGACGAGGGAATGCACCGCCCACGTGGCGTGAAGCGGATTTTATGACCACCCACAGTAGGTGTTGGGAATGAAGCGGCGCCGTCCTGGAATGAAGCGACCCCGGATGTAAAAACCGGGGTGAGCAGGGGGTGCCTTCTTAGTGTGGAGTCCTTTCTTCCAGGGCACCCACTTCCCACCTGATTCAAAAGTGGGGGGTTGAAGAATTCAGGACACATTACAAAACGCCACTTGGATGGTTCGGTGTGTCCGTCACTCCCGCGCCAAAGAACTCAAGCCATGGAGATGCAAAACGTGGAGTCCCGGAAGCCGATCTGGACTTTTCTCTGCGCATTTTGGTCACTCCGGCTCTGTGTCTCTGTTTGATCGGAGGGATATATATATATATGCTTTCCTCCCTTGAAATACTCAGGTGTTCATCCAGAACTCAAGCTTTTGGCCAGACTGGGGGGATTCTGAACTAAGCAGAAGTTAAGCTCCACGTTGAAAAGGAGCTCATAGTTAAACAGCTCGAACGCGAAGTGCGCTTCAAGTCACGCTGGAGTCCGCGAAGTGCACTTTGGCAGCCCCAGCTCAAAAAGCACAACTTTCAGCACAAGAGTGTACGCAAAGCACGCTTTGGCAGCTTCATCGTGCCTGTAACAGCTGTTTGGTTTTAGTATTTCTGTTTTACAAGGAAACTCGGCAAATCATCCACTTGGAGGAAAGGAACTTTATCCTACTTGCAACTGACATCAAATCAAACATAAAAGTGTTTCATGTCCTTGCGCAGTTGCATTTACATGCTCGTTTGTTTTTGTACATAATTCCATATGCATTCTAACTAAGAGTATTTACACCAACTTGCAAAGCAGCTATCTCTCAGTTGTGCGTTACTTGTCTAATATGATTCAACCACTGTCAAGAACAACTATTGAAATTCAAGTTTAGGAAGAATATGCAAATTAGAATGATTTCGAGTTAAGCCAAATTCATCTCTAACCGCTTGCAGTTTTGTGTGCCTTTCAAAAGTCAATTGGAGAACACAGCTATTGTCATGGCCAATCAAAACTGGAATCAAGACAAAGTTCATAAGGGTTATTGTCCTTATCTAACTCCATGTGGATTTTAACCAAGTAAGAACTGAGCCAAACCAACAACTGAAAAGTGTTTTCAAACATAGATATTGTTCTTTGCGGTGTTTTCAGCATTGGCTCAGTTCATGTTGCCCTGGATCGAAGGCCAACTATTCAACATGCCACAGATCGTTTTAGAACATCCTCAATCCTGGCCCCCAAACAGCTTGACTAGACTCTTTAAGGTTTTCATAGGTTTTCCCACCTGCATTGAAGCTTGAAGATCTCCAGATGTTGTTTTTTGAGAATCGTCCATCCTGGCCAGCCCTCAAGTCCCACAAAAGCTGCAAAGTTTTCAATACACATGTTTCCCTTATTGGCAAACTGCAGGCGGTGCACATCCACAGTTTGACTCTTGGAACGTGCTCTGCTTGTCCTTGTCAGATTCCATACTTGGGCAATCCAGGATCTGCTTTCACATCCTGGATTGACGATTGAGGATTGAAGGCTCTTTGATAACTCTTGATGGGATTCTTCAAACATGTACTTAGGGCAATCCAAGATGTTCTGGCACATCCTAGATTGAAGATTGAAGGTATTCAGACCACTTTTCTGGAAATCTTCAAATCCATACTTAGGCCAAACTGATATGTGCTAGCACGTGCTAGCACATCCTGGGTTGAAGGTTGAAGGTTAAAAGAATCCCAGAAAGAGTTGCGAGACAATCCATTCTTCAATCTTCAATCCAGGATGTGCTAGCACGCGTGATAGCACATCCTGCATTACACTAAGTACTGATGCTATAATTTAGGTCTAAAAAAGAGGGGGCACCATATATGTATATGTATATGTATATATACAATACATATATATATGTTCCAGGCCGTGGACCCCCCCCCCCTCCCCCCCCAACCCCCCCCCCCTGTGGGGGTGGGGTGGGTGGGTGGTGGGGTGGTGGTGGGGGGTGGTGGTTGGGTGGTTGGGTGGTTGGGCCAACCCCCCCCCCCCTGTGGGGGGTGGGGTGGGTGGTGGGGTGGTGGGGTGGTGGGGTGGTGGGGTGGTGGGGTGGTGGGGTGGTGGTTGGGTGGTTGGGTGGTTGGGTGGTTGGGTGGTGGTTGGGTGGTTGGGTGGTTGGGTGTGGTTCGGAGTTGGTTTAGGCTTGGTGGGTTGGTTTAGGGTTGGTTCAGGGTTGGTTCAGGGTTGGTTTGCGGTGGGTTTCGGGTGGGTTTGGGTTTTGGGTTGATTTAGGCTTAGGGTTGGGGTTAAGGAGGGGTTGCAGGGTGGTTTGGTTTAGGGTAGGATGTTGCGAGAGGTGCGGGGGTGTTGGTTCACGGGGTGAAAGGGGGTCTGGGACCGAAGCTGCAGGGCTCGCACGGTACTGGACAGCATCCCCAGCATTGCCAGCATCATCCCCAAGATGCGGATGATGCGGGGGAATGGGGGGACCATACCATTGGATACGTGGCCCAGGGACTGGTACATATATATATATGTATATCTGGGTTCCAGGTGCGTGTGTGTGTGTGTGTGTGCGGGGGTTGTTTGAAAAGGCGGACGTGTCTGCGAACTTTCGGAACACAGAAAAGCCCGACGGAGTTTCTTGCAAGTCTTGGATGAAACTGGGTGAATTATAACGACGGCGCCCCAAATGCTGGTTTATGTGGGGAATACCCCCAACCACCTTATTTCAGGCTGGTGAAATAGCATAAGTCACCCAGTACATGCAGGCCGTGCCTGTCCCGGGCTCAGGTCGCCTATGTCCGCGGCGGCGCCATTGAGGTGGTCCAGAACGAGGCGTTTGACGTCCAAACGGAGAACCCGGCTTTGTGGGGTCTCCGCGCGACAAGAACGACGAAAGATTTGTCTTTTTGGGAACAACAATATGGGATTTTGTTGTTTTGGTTGTGGCGCCTTCTATTTTTCCGGTGTTTTGTTTGGACCAAAAGGTGAATCAGTGTGGGTCGGTTTCCCTGTGAACACTGCAAAAACATGGGTAGATAGTAGAGTTTATAACTTTTTGGGAAAACAAGCGTTAAGCGTTTTGCAGCGGTGCCAACGCGGCATTTTGAAGGGTTCATCGAATTTGGGCTGGCTCTTCTCTGAAAACCATTGAGAGGGTCATAAAATGAGAAACGGCGATTCCACTCCCGGAGGAAGACATGTCCTTTTTTCAACTTGCTGTTTGCATTTCGCATTCAACCTCTATTCCTGTGTGGTGTTGATCCTTTGTGAGGGTACCGTTGTTAGGGCCATTTCATTTTCCCTTTGTGAATTCCTTCAAAGGTGGCAGTGTCAATGGACACCACTGGTAAATTGCAACTTGTTCACCTGTAAACGCTGCACGTAAGCTGCACTGACCAAGCAAAGAAGGCTATGTGTCATATGGCACTCGTATAGAGTCCAGAGCACGATGGTCCTCCGACAGGATGCTGCGAAGTGCCCGAAGGGTTTGAGAAACCACTCTAAATGACAGAGTTGTCCACCCCTTCCCCTTTCTTCAACCAGTTCGGTGACTTGTCAGTCGGTTGAATCGCAGATAGCCTGCTAAATGGGAGTTCCCCTTAAACATTATTCAAGGGTGACCCCCCCCCGATCAAACCCTTTAAAGCTCGCATCATGGGACTTGTTCTTAGAAGAGTGACTAAAGCACGACCATGGCACCATAAGATAGAATTGCATTTCCGCACGTTTTTTTGGCACAGGTGAAGGTGCAAGAAGTATCCGGCCAGCACTGCCCCATGGTGGGCAACAAGATGTGCTTCGATGAGCTGAGCGGCGCAGCCGAACTTGGCCAAGGTGAAGGATGTGGCATGGGTTCAGAGCGCCCCGCCAAGGATATGGCGGCCAACCTCGATCACCCGACTGTGGAACATGTGGCTCCATGCCCGTGATCCAGGCATCCAGTCACATGTGGCTCGCCTTTACTTGGTTCAGTGTGAGCAATTATACACGCAGGATTCTGCGCTGGTGTCACCCGTGAGGCCTTACTTGCCGCAGGAGCGAGGGGAGGTTGGCCAGGCATACCGATAAGCAAGCGAGTCGGACCCCAATCACGAGAATGTAGGATTAGTTGATGGTGTGACACGGGTTCATAGCAACCTCTGCTTGTTGGACAGAACAAAATGAACGTAGACATTGGAAAAGCAGTTGGGGAGTGCTGGAAAGCATTTCTGGTTGGAATATGCGCTGGCGTGTTTGTAGGATATTGAGTATTCAGGGGCAGACGCATATTATTGTTAAACCAACGCATGGCCAAATCTTTAGAGGAAGCAATCAATGTTTGTTCCAACGCGATTCCTACCTTTCGGGTTTCGGGTCATTGGGTTTGGGTTTCTTGTGGTCTACGTCAAAGCTACGTCAAAGCTGGGCACTCCTTTCACTTTGAACCCCTTTCGAAACAAACGAAACTCTATGTCCTTATATGTCCCCGGCCTATCCATGCCAAGCCAATGTTCAGAAGGGGGCCAATGTTAGGTCACTTCTTTCCAAGAGGGGAACCAATGATGACCAAATTTGATACACACGGAATCGACCCCACCAAACGGGGTTAAAATGCTCTTCCGTTCCGATGCTCTTTCAATTTGGGTCGTTCCACCTCTGGAGGGAACCAATGTTGGACAAATGTCAAATCTTCCCCCAGAAAAGAGGGAGACCAATCCCAGTTCCCTAGTAAATAACCCAATCCCATTCTGCGTCTTTTGATTTGTTGGCAAGGATTTGGTTGCCTTCTCCAGAAAGAAATCCAGAAGCGTCAAGCGCTCACTTATTTTGGTTCATTTGGGACATTGACTACTTTTTCAGTCGGCCAGAAACAGTGTGACAAACCACATCGAGCAAAAAAACAATGTGCTCAAATGCTGAGGGGAACGATCCCAGACCCAAATCCCAGACCCAATGGCAGTGGGTCAAAAATAAGGTAACCCCAACATGACTTGCCCTGAGTTCCAAGTGCAGATGGAAAAAATGGGCCGAGGGGAACCTGAGAAAAAACCGAAGAAAAACGGCTGGCGGGCGGTGGGATTGGGCAGGTGTCTCAGCGGAAGACGCCCAGCTTAGCTGACCCCTCAGATGGTTCGGGGGGCCGCTCAGAAGGGTTGGGCAGACGTTTGGTGGGGCTTAAAATGGAAACCCTCTGGAAGACGGCTTCTTTTTTTTTTGGGGGGGGGGGGGGCGGTGGGAGGATTTGCGCGATTTGCATCTGCAAGATGTTTGAACTGGCGACCTTTCCGTGGGAAAGTGTGGGATGCTGGGACTCCCATTTTTTTGTGCCAACGTATCGAAGGAGTCACATGGACAACTGGCTTCGGGAAATATTGGCTCGGCTGGCTTCCGGGAATCCCATATTGGCGACGGAGAGCCCCTTGAAAGTGAGGGCAAGGGAATCTCATCCCAAAATGGGCGAATCGTTGGCGAAGCCGGTGTTCAAAACCTTTTTTCTCAAGGCTCAGATGGTTTCATGCTTTTATTTTGAACATCGGAAATGGATTCCGGCCCATTTCGAAGAAAGGCTCAGCGCCGATTTGGGTTTTCTTCACAGGTCACCCATACATCTGGGAAAGGCTTCGGACCCCTGAAGGACTTCTTTTTCCAGAAGGAAATGGGGTATGCAGGTCTTTGGTTCCATTTGCTGGGTTTAAGGATGGAGAGTCAGTCCTTGGGACCGAACCCTTGGGTTCTCCAAGGAGCCGGGAGGCGGTTGGTTGGAGAAGCGGTTGGAGGTGAAAAGGTGCCTCGGGTTTTCTGAGGCTTCCCATTTCCCTTTCCAGAACCTCAAGTGGCAATGGCTTCAATGGAACTCGATGAATTGATCAGCTTTGAACGTCTAGTGACCCCTGTTCAACCCTTCCCTCAGCTCATTCCCTCGCCAATTGTTGCTCCGGGTTCGGATGGGAGCCACAGACCGAGTCGTTGGTTCCTTGGAGGTGGGCTTCACAGACCGAGAGCGCTTGCTGGGGGACACCGCGCTGTCCCAGATCAAGCCGGGAAGCTTCAGCAGCTGGTGGTGTGGGGGTTTTGGGTGGGTGGGTGAGTAGGTGGTTGGGGGTGGGGGGGGTGGGTGGTGCGGGTGTCTGACTTCATAACTTAGGTCATTCAGGTTGGTTGGCCCTCTTAGGCAAGTGTCTCGAACCACTGGGTGGAAGGCGGGGAGGTTATTGGTTCTCAAGTTATGTCACACTCCCGGCCAAAAATATGTTTGTCCCCCCCTCTGGAAGATGCTTTGGGCAAGGCCAGGGGCTGAACCTGCTTTGAGTCAGAACGTCGCCCTCCAACATCGCACGCACTGCAGGGGAACATGATCTTCCAGGAACCCCTGACGGTAGATGATTTTTGCGAGCTCCAATCGCACCAAAGCCTTTCAGCAAGAAACATGGATTGGCGCACCTCTTTTTTGCAGATGACTTTCCTTCTCGGGAAAAAAAGAATCGGGGAGGCGTTTCTGCCCATTCGCGCCTTCAAGGGGAACGAAAGTCACAGGACCTGGATGGATTTCTCCCGTTCTTCACGATCAATGTTGTTTTGCTTCTGCTTGCTAAAAATGGCAGCCTGAGATGGCCTGTACATTGTCAACCAGGCCATCTACTTGGTTTTAGGGTTACCGGCTTTAGTTTTGGTTGGTTGGTTGGGATTTCAGTTCGGTTGGTTGGTTCCTGGCTTTCTTGGTTACTCGTCAGAAATTCCCTCGCGCGTGAGTCCACGTCAGGGGCAGTCATAGGGCTGTTTATGGCATCTTCGACTGGATCCACCGTTCTTTGCCACACATTTCTACTGGCCCTTCAAACCGTTGCCAGACAAAACAAACATATATGTGTGTGTGCGTGTGTTTTTTTGGAAGTCATGGTTTTGCTTTGTTCCCCCCTCCCCCCCCAAAAAAAAGAAAGAGAAGAAGCACCAGCTCAAAAAAAGAAAAGACCTACCCAATGGTTGACTCGGTGTCCCTTTGGACGGGTGTCCGTCACATTTCCCCCTGGTCGGCGCCAAAAAAAAAGAGTCGACTCGTCGGCCGCGGCCGATCCGGGTCGAGCGGATGGGATCGATCGGATCCGCTCCGGGGAGCTTTTCCCGAGGTCCAACTCGAAGAACACCTGCGGTTGGCCCAGACGGGGGGAGGCAAAAACGACGGAAAACGCTCGGACGGCTGAGGGAAAGGGGACCAAACATGACCAAACCACCAGGTACACTGGGTGTGTGAGTCGTTTGGTGCCTTTATTTTTGTTTGGTAGGCCAACCAAAAGGACACTGAAAGCTAGTAGCCCCACTTCAGGTTGATGCAACAGACTCCGACGTGATTTTTAGCCAGGGGTCCCGAAAGATGAGTCTGGTGGATGTGTTCGGGTTTGGTTGATCGGCCGGGACCCATGGGTTGAGAAACAGAAATTTCCCTTCCGGCCATGACCGGGGTAGTAACTTTCCCATGTGGCTGTGGGTCAAAAATAAGTACCCAAAAGGAAACCCTGGTAGATGGAGCCAAGGACTAAAACCTGCGGTCCCCTGGTGGTTTCATTTTGACCCACGCCCATGTCGAAGGATCAAATCCTGGGTTTCCCAAGCAATCGTCCCAGGTCCGGAGCTTGTGATGCTGGTGCTCGATAGGGCATGTGGTTGAATGAATGAGCCCAGGAAATGGCCCCCGTAAAAGAAGCCACAGGATGGTTGATAAGGGGCATTCCATTTCTCATTTGCTGCCTATTGCACCGAGCGCGAGTTTGATCAACCCCCATACGCTGTGGGAGAATATCCCGCCCCCCCCCCCCAGCCGCATCGAGCCACCTGAGGCCGCAACTTCAAGCATTTGCTCGGCCAAAGGCGCGAATCGCTGGCTCGCTCGGCGCAGCTGGGTCCAACTCCCCGTTCCCCAAAATAAGACAATCACAATGCCAATAGTTTAATTAGAAGAATAATGGCAGAAGAAACACCATGACAATAATACTAAAAAAAATAACACAAGAACAAAATAAGACCACAACAATGAAAATACAAAAATAGCAATGATCATATAACTTATAACAATAATAATAATAATAATAATAATAATAATAATAATAATAATAATAATAATAATCACAATATGCTTAAGAAGAGAAACGAGAAGAACAATCAGAGTAATAATAATGCTAAGAATAGTGATGATAAGATAAAGCAAGCTTCTTTCAAGCAGAGGGGAGGGAGTTGAGTGCACCTAAGGACTCGATTCTTCAGGTCCAGTTCTTTTCCCACGTTTGCATACGGGACATTGGGGCTTTTGGGGTGTGACGGGAACGTCGGTGCCAAGCATCACCCTGAGGGGAATTTCAGTCGGCATTCTGGAAAAGGTCGTGTTTCAACCCAAAAAGGCACAAAAGGACCTGTCATCTTGGTCTCTTTGGAAAAGGAGTGAGCTTGACAGAGCCCGATGTGGAAACCCACAAATGTGCCAACCCGCGGGGCAGTCCGTGCCATTTCTTCATTTGAGAACGGGTCAACTGGGAATGGCAGGTTCGACTCTCCGGCCGTGGAATCCGAGAAGCCTGCGCCTCAAAGGAATCGTCATCTTCCACCCACACTTCCCGGCAGTTTGTGTTTCTTCCATTTGCTAAGAATATTGTTTGTATTTTCCCCTGTTGGTTTTAATGGGAATCTATCACAACGTGAAATATTTCTATTTTTCCCAGGGGTCTTATCCAAATGGAAGTGTTTTTTGTTTTTTGTTTAAGAACAAAATGCCCAGTGATGTTCCATTTGGAGGGATTCTCCTGGTGTAACCCCTCGAGACTTGCAGAGGGAAGGAAAGAACAGGCCGACACCAAGGTTCGGGTAGTCTGCTTTTAAAGGGAAGCCCCAACAAAAACCAACACAGTGGATCCCAGTTGCGCTTTGGGAACCAGTCATCTTTGCTTTTGGTGTTTAGAGGCTGGCAAGCCCTTGGTTACCTACTAAAAAACCAAACCAAACCCGGACAGGGGTGTGATCCCAGGCTGCAATTCGAGAAGCCAGGAAAAGATTGTCAACCCTAGGGCCCTAGGTGTTTAGAACGACCTCTCGAGGCTTTCTGGGAGTTAGGGGACCATGCCACTACATCATTATGGGATGGGATCTCCAAGAGTTTATTTTGCACTCTGGATCCGAAGATGGAGGTGTCTTAAAAATTTGACCACCCCCCCCAATCAAAAAACATGGCAACGGCATCCTTGTGGTTTCCCTTTAAAACCCACTCCAACAGGGGTGTCCACAAAAAGCATGACGAGACCCATATGCAAAGCTGGTGCTTTCGCCTTTTTGACGTTTTCGAGCGACCCGGCAACGCCTGCAACGGCCTGAGGTTTTGGTCTACTTGCCCACTGGTGGCCAACGAGGCGCGCGGAGTTGGACAAAAAACCTGTCCAGAGCGAATGTGGGCAGTGGTTTCATGCTGGTTCTTTGCTGTTCTCGTGATTTCGCTTTGTTTTGCTCTTGCTGCAGCGCATGTACAGAAAATTAAAAATAAAATGTGTGTTTCAAGCAAAACAACGAAAATGAAAATAACAAACGTTTGCATGAATTGAAATCAATTGAAACAAAATGTGCTTGCGCTTTTGTTGCTTTGCTTTCTTCTGCTTCAAAGACGCCAGGATGGTTTCGCTGGCTATTCCGTCGGCTACAAGGGGGAGACCGCGCAGTTTTCGGCCACCGAGGCCCATTCGATCTGGAATCCACTTGCACACTTAGCAGGGCAGCGCCCAAAGCCGGAAAAAGGTGGGGGGTGGATCAAAAGGTCCGAGGAACATGGGCGTTCCTTTTGTTTCCCTTTCTTTAGCACTTGACCTGGACCTCCAAAATTTGTGGGCGTTCATTTTAGTTTCCCTTTCAGAAACCACCCAAATTCGTGGGGCGTTCCTGTTGGTTTCTCTTTTGACACCACACAAAAACACAGGTGTACCAACAAAGAGGGTTGATTAAAAGGTCCTGTGCATGAGAAAACCACTAAACGTGTTAGATATTTCAAGCACATGGGAAAGTTGGTCATGACGTCATGGCCGGGGGCCCTAAATGGAATATTGATTAACCCCCATGTGTTCATGAATGGATTTCTGTGAAGCAACAACAAATACAACAAGAATAAGCCCCCTCCCTCCAAACAACATGGCATCAAATAGGGTAGGCAAGCCAATTTGTTGCGCGTGGTTCAGTTCCTTTCATGAAAGCAAGTCTCTACGCACACCTTCACAACCCTTTTTGCTTTAGCTTCAAATGTCAAGCGGGTTTGGGCGCTGCTCAAGTAAAGATGCTGAGGGGCTCCAAAAGTTGCATTGCAGGTGGGTTTCTCTTTCAATCCCTGTGAATCGCCTTAGCCTTGCAAAAGGGCGGGGGGCATGGAAAAGGAATGGTATCCTTCCTCCCACTAACCTGGCACCTGACAGGGGGTCCATTGAAGAACTTGATCTTCCAGGTGCCCTCCCACAAATGCTATGTTAGTGGGAACCGAGATCAGCCAATGCCTGCCTAGATTTAGATTCACGCCCGTGGCCAGCAATAAACCGACTCGAGTGTGGTTACCCGATGTTGCCAGTTTTCAGTCGATCAGGAAGAATTTAGCACCGGTCTCAGAATAGCGCCCCAAGATGGGTGTGTTTCCTGTGATTGTCCTTTAACTAGGTCCCCCAGTAGTGCCCTTGTACCCCTGTTTGGGGGAGGGTTCCCCTAAAATAGACTACAGGAAAAAGTTGGCACCCTTATTCTAACCTCTATACTGGAGGACCTAGTTAAAGCAACCCCAAAACGCCTACCCTCAAAACAAAAAGGTCATCACGCCATGAGGCGCCTGGTGATTTTCAAGGCTCACTCTTCTTGATTTCAATGCGCCTGCCAATGATTTCAGCTTTTCTCAATGAACAAATGTGGTTTTAGAATTCCCACAAACTAATGTTTTTTGAGATAAAACACCCTTCATTTGACATCATCTCCATTTGGGCTCCATTTGGGTTGTGCATTGCAAACATTGAGCAAATCAGATCACACCACATCTGGGGCCCCTTTTTTTGCAGCTGCCAAAAAACAAAGGCAGCGTCCCGTGAGAACGCGAGACATAAGAGACCCACGAAGACCACAGAACGTGCTGATCATCACACAGCGCACGAAAGTCAATTGGAGAACGGTCAGGCATCGCAGAAGCAGCAATCACAAAGTCCAAAACTGGCTCTGACACCGAAACAGCAGCAAAGACATCAATGTGCTGATCAAGGAAAAAGGGTACGCGCACCAAACAGACAATAGAGCCGCTGAGCGGCTCGGCAGTGGTACTTTAGCAATGCGCAAAAGCAACACCAAAGACAAGCAAAGAGACACCGCGCGAGGATTGTACATTGCTGAACACTCCCTGAGAGCCAGCGATGCAACCGGAAACCTTTTGACAACACGACAAAAAAAGCGACATGTGGCTGAGATGCATGAATTGATTCTCATGCGTCGCAGTGCGTGCTCAACACGATGAAAAGAGCCGACATGAGGCTGAGACGCATGAATTTATTCTCATGCGGCGCAGTGAACGCGTGTGTTTATTACCCCCCCCCCCCCGCCCACCCCCAACGGAACGACAGAAAAACAGCTGAAACGCCGCAAAACGACCAGGCGCCCTGTGGCGGCACTAGCAACAAAAAGACTCCCATTTCGCCCCAAGATGGGCCTGTTGCCTTTTATTTTTCTTTAAAGCAACCTCAAAAAGCCTACCCATTTCTCCTCACAAGCTGCTTCACTCGGCCTGCGGAGGTCGCCGCCATGTTCCTCACAAAGCTGAAGCAAGTCACTGAGGAGCGCCGATTCCACGCTCGATGGCGTACAGGGCGGCCGTTCGATTTCCAGCTAACGGGTGGTTTTAAACATCACCTTTTGGTTCCTAAGGTGAGTTTTCTCGGGAAATGGCTATGATGTGTTCGGTTGGTATTCAATATATGCCCGGGCAAGTTCTGCATTGAGCTGAGCTTGGCCCCGAAAAGAGCGAAAAGAGGTTGGTAATACAGGAAACCTGGCTTCCAACTTAGACTATGCTTTGGCTTTACAACTTGTGGCGGTTTCTCTTCGGATCGCCAAAAACGCCCAATCCAGGCTCGCGGGCACTGAGGCTCAAACCCAACATGGACCGAAGGGCCAAGTGGGGTAAAACCCCTGAGTGGTTTTGGGACGACACAGAAACGCAAAAAAATGACCCGGAGACGCCCCGGACGTTGCTCCCAAAGGAAGTTAGGAAGCAGAACTTGAGGGGATCCACAGCTCATTGGACGGTTGGAAAACCGTTTCAAGTCGCCTTGTGACATTTCAACCCAAACTTAAACCTGCAAGTATCCTTTCATGCCTTGACCATCCCTGCCAAGATGAACCAGAGGAGATTTCTAGGCAATGTCTTTCAGGCGCAGCGAGTTCCATTCGGTTGCTTGAGTGAGGGCAAACCAAAGCGCTTGGACTTTGGGATCTGGATACGGCCTGTTCGCCAAACGACGGTGGCGGCCGCTTTTGAGACAAACCCAGCTGCTGATCGATTTTTCCCACAAAGCAGATCCCAATCAGAAGATGTCCAGCCATCCGGTCCCTTAGCCTTTGGCCGTTCGGAAGACGGGCCCAGATGTAGCGCTTGGATCAAAGCAGCGGCGCTGAGCTTGGAGCAAACAGCTGCTGTCAGGACATGTTTCTATGTGGCAAAACAGGGGAAGTGACAAGGTCTCTGAAAGGGTTCATGAGATCCATTTGGCTGTGGTTGTCAAACCAATGGGATGCCATTTTGGGGTAGGACTGCGGGTACGATTTGGAGGTTGACCCATGGCCATTTCAAAAATCGTGACCAGCTGATTTGGAGGATCCCACAAGCAAGTGGTTTTTGGGTCTACTCTACCGGAACCCCAAACATAAGAAGGTATGTGGCAAAACAGGGAACTCCGCAATTTGGGCAAAGCGGTTCCAGTGAATTTCCCGCCCCAAGAAGGGTACTTCTCACAGTAAAAACAAATGAATCGGAGCCACGTCCCCTCGCCGTTTTTCTTTTCGCAGGAGTACTCTTCGACTGGAACCTCAAATTTAGGCTAATTTGCAGAACCAGGAAAGGCAAGCCCCAAAACGGGCAGAAAGCGCTGTCCCATTAAACTTCCCCCTAGGCCGAGCCACCGTCCCCTCGCAGGAGTGGTGCACCGCGAAGGTGGCGGACGCGGTGATCGCAGTGCCCTCCTACTTCAGCGACTTCCAGCGCCCGGACGCCCAGGGACGGCCGGTAGGATCTCCGGAGCGACTGCACGGGAGGTCCGGATTTTCGTAGATCCATAGCAAAAATCTGACACCCACAAAAGTGAAGAGCCCACAAAAGTAATGCGGATTCCCTCTAAAAGGGGGACACCCCCCGATCAAAAACCAAGTCTCAGCATGTGCTCCCTGTTTTTGTTGCTGGTTGGAAGCAAAACTTTGAGGGGCAAGCAGATGTTCGACCTTGGCGGTGTTATTCATTACCAAGTTTGAACTGAGTTGCTTCCGACAACGAAAGCTCTACAGGTGGGGTGGCATACATCAAGCAACATCCGCCATGGAACTCCTGTGGTCAAGAGGTGAAGGAAAGCCACTTGATGCGACTGAGGAAGCGAGCAGGAAACCCAATTCTTGGGCCAAGTGTGCCTGGTTTAGGACATATATCCTGGCCCACACTGAAAACCACAAGGAAAACCACTTCTTCTTCTTCTTCTTCTTCTTCTTCTTCTTTTTTTTTGGAGCGGGGGGGTCCCTTAGTAAAATTGACACACCCAAATGTCAGAAGCCATGCTTCACATAGGTCAGAGTTTGACCTCTGTGAAACCCAGAGGGTGGGGCTGGCGCGACTTTCTGTGAGCCAAGTTGGAGTTTTGGTTTGATTCGCAGTGGGAAATCACAAGGGGAACGATGTTCCACGGCCAAGAACCAGTACTGTATGTACTGGTCGAACAGCCCGGCACATGCCCGACACGCACCCTGATTTGTTTGGGGAAGCCGCCCAAAAAGGCGATGATCCCAAGTAGCGATTTCGAGAGATTCCCAGTTGAAAATGAGGATTCGTTTCGTTCCAAGGCTGTTTTTCAGAGGATAAGGGTAACTTCTCAGCTCTCCCAGTCGCAGCTGCAAGTGTTTTTGTTTTTTTTAAATGGGACGGCGCCCCTCAAAACTCTTTAATTGTTCTTGTCTATTTTGTTTACTTTGTTGCCACCCAAAATCGGTCGCATCATGGCGATTCATCGGTTTCTCACGTTTTCTCGCGCCGATCGGATCCTTTCGACTGAGGGCAAGCGCTGCTCGACGCGGCGGCTATCGCGGATCTCAATTTGCTCAGAGCTCCGAGCTCAGGACGAAATCCGTCTGGGTGCCTGGTGCCCCCCCCCCTCCCCTCGTGTTTTGTGTTTTTTCTTTTTCTTTTTCTTTGTGGGGGGATTCAACCCCGTTTTCTCTTTCTCGTTTTTTTTTTTTTTTTTTTTTTTATGTTTTTTCTCTCTCTCTCTCTCTCTGTTTTTCCCGGGTTTGGAAAGGGAACCCAACAGGAAAACCGCAACAGATCCATTTTGGGGATACCCCCCAAAAGAAAGACACCAGGTTTATCCCAGTGTTGGTAGGTGGTTTACTACCCTGCTTGTAGCGTTTTGTGTCATAGCCCAAGTGGTGCACGATTTCGATCGATTGGGCCGGAGGGTGTGAAGCCTTCTGTTGACCCGCAAAATTCGGGACCCCTGTGCTGGCAGCAAGAAAGCCAAACGAAGCAAAGAATGTTGAGAGGCGGATTCAAACGAAGACTAGTAAAGGGCCCTCCTGTTGTTTGGCCCCCTGAAAAAAACAATGCCGAGCCCCCAACACTGAGAGCCCCGAATCTGGAGCGCTTCGGGCCTCGTCTTTCGCTTGCCCCTCCCAGCCAATTGAACTGGAAACAGGCCTTTGTCCGGGGGCCTTTGGCTCAGGTGGTCAATGAACACACCGCTACGGCGCTGGAGCGCATGCCTTGGGTGGCGTGTGGCGTCCCTTAGGCGGCTGAGGTTCGATCGGTTGAATCAACGGGCTTTTGGACAAGGAATGATTTACCCCTAGATGCTTGCCCCAAAAGGGCGAACCCACCTGAAATTTGACGTGCTTGTTTGCTTCCCTTTCATGGATTCTTAGTTTTAGTCATGGCCGGGGCACCACAAGGTGATCACCTTTGATTTCTGGGCCTGATTGGGGGCTACTGAGCCTAACGATCTCCCAGGAAACCACATGATAGGCTTGATCACTCCCTGAAAACTGGAGAGAACCTCAGAAGCGCCTGGAGTCGATGCCCCTGACACCTCCACATCGCAGATTTTTCGGATTGGCTTCCTTGCAAAGACCAATGGTGCGCTTTCGACAGCCCAGGCAGGATTTATCCTGCAGTTAAAATCTGGTTTCCCTCTTTACTTCATTGGGTTTCATCCATCTCAACTGGTGCAGGATTTCGTCCAACGGAATGTGTGCTTCACACTTTTGAAGAACCATGGTGGTCGAGCTAACGGAAGCTACACTAAGTTCCATATGTTGATAAATAGTGTACCCACCACGCGAATATGTAAGCAGGACCAAGCTTCATTGGGCAACTCACTTTGCAGCCATCCCCCATTTCAGGCGTCCCACCCCAAACCATAGCCTGAACCCACCCCACCCAAAAACCCTCCCCCCCCCCCCCCCCGCGTAGCCCCCACCAAACCAACCTTTGGGGAGCCAAACCCAACCCGCAAGCCAAACCCAACCGGAGCCTCGGAAATTTCAGAGATACTCGTTCTTTGGTCGGACCCACCACGTCCACAAACCAACCGCCTCCAAAGCCACCGGGGATTCCACGGGGGCTTCCCCCGGAGCCCTACACGTTTTTGGGCGCAAAAGGGGCCGCCCCCCCCTTTTTCAGATGGTTCGCCCCCAACACCACCACCCCCAAGAAAAATGACCAAAGCCATGTTTGACAACCAAAGTAACACCAGTAGAAAGCCGAATCCCTGCCGCGCCGAAGCGCCCTGCCGCGCCGCGCCGTGCCCGAGGTACGGCTTCTTCCGGCACAGCAGCTTCGATGCCGAGCAGCCCACCACCGTGGCCTTCTGCCAGATGGGCCCGGGACCCGGCGAAACGGAGAAACGGGGGCTGGGAGGCTGTGGATTGGTTTGACTCGCCCTTGCGAGTTTTTGGTCTCCAACAGCAAGACAACCCCCCCCCAGATCTACCCAACCCGATTCGGCGCCCAACCCGATTCGGACTCCAAATCCGTTTTTGAGAAGCAAAGGGTGATCACCTTTGCGCTGGTTCCGGCAAATGAGTTATTGAGTGACCCCTCTCAAAAAAATACCCCACCCCCCCACCCCACCCCACCCCACCCACCACCCTCCCATTTTCTCTGACCTTACTAACATTTCCCTTCGACAGCAACTCTCCGCGCCTTAGCGCCTCTCGCGCCTGCCACACCCCTTGAGACGCCGCCCCGAGTTGCCTTTTCCGCCGCCTTTCCGCGTTCCGCGCGGAGGTCATTCCAACTTCTCGGTGGCCATCGTGCAGTTCACCAAGGCCAAGCTCGCGGTGCTCTGCGAGCGCTCCGACAAGGCCGGAATCGAGCCGCCGGACTCCGCCGGAGCCCGTCGCGTCGCCTCGCTTTTCGCGCGGGGAAACGGGGGGGGGGGGGGGGTTGGATGTGGCCACACCCAGTGTGGATTTTATCGTACCCGGGGTTTTCGAGGTTAAGCAAGAATGTGAGTGGTTTTCGATGTTCATTTTGAGAGGTTGTTAGGGACTTGCCCAAGTTTTAAACACCAAAAGGGCAATTTCTGGATACCTACTAAAAGGAGGGCTTGCCTGGGATCCACTAAAAGGACCATGCAAAGAAGTTCACTTGAAATGTAAAGATTTCATAGCCCCCAGAATGATATATAAGCCTTCACCATTTGATCTGAGAAAATGAATGAATGTTCAACCAACCTGCAAACAGGGTGCAACCTTGTTGGTGTGGCAATAGCCAGCAAGGTTTTGCGAGATGCGGGAAACCCTCGTGTCAGGTTGGTCTAAACAGAAAGCACAATTGTTGGGGGTTCAAGAAACTGAATATTTGTTACCCTGGTACAGAGGTGCCCCAGCATTTTGTTCTTTTCAGGTTGGCTGAAAGGGAAACCAGGAAAACAGAAACCATCTTTGGGGGGGTTGCCTTCTTGCGATGTGTGTGCGTCTGTGTGTGTGTGTGCGTGTGTGTCAAAACAGGTTTTTACCCATACACGAGAATACTTGTGCATCCCTTAGAGGTTTGACTATGGATGGGTTCCCTTTCAGTTTGCTTTGCTTTTTACGCCACACTTGCAATGTAGTTGAGCGCATTCACAATTGCAATGTAATTGCACTGCAAATTGCAGTGCAACCCGAAAAGAGTACCCTCCCAAGAAGCAACCGTAGAACCTGACCGAGACAGGTTGAACTTCGGCGCTCCAGAAAAACACAAAGCCGTGGGACGTTGTTGGGACTTCGATTTGGGGAGCATGGGACATGTTATAGGCGGGCGTTGCAGTTGGGGGTGGCTCGTCTTTGCAGCCCCCATTGTTGGGAGGGGTTGACAGGGAATTGAGGAAAACCACGGTGATTTTTTTTTTGGGGGGGGTTGGGGGTTGGCCGAACCAATCCAAACCAAAAGAGAATTTGATATGGGTTTGCCTCAAACTAGAGCAACCCCCCCAAAACAAATGTTGTGTTTTCCCTTGACTTGCTCTCAACCCAAAAACCACGACCCGCGAAACAAGACACTGTCTCTACCCGCGTCTCACTTTCTTTCTCCCCGCATCGGACGCCAGAAGCTTGTTGTGAAGCTCAGAGCAGAGCCCAAGCAGAGCACTTCAGGAACCGCCCTCAGAAAACGAAAAGAACAAGGAACCTCCCGGAAGTCACAAAGAACCTCAGTAAAAGCAAAGGTCCGGGAAGTGGTTCACAAGGAACTGCCCTCAGAAAAAGCACAAGGTCCTTCCTGGCAGCGGTTCGTTCCTTCATTCAACTGTGCTCAACCGCTCGCTTGATCTTAGGTGGGCGGCCGGGACATGGACGAGTGCCTCATCCGGGCTTTCGCCGAGCAGTCCCTTGGCTCGGAGGTCGTTGGCTTCGGAACTTCTTGGAATTGGAGCCGGCCGGTTTAACGTTAAACCCAAAGGGAACATGACTCACTCCATTTTGGGGAAAGCCATATGTTCTTGGCAGTTCCCAAGAAAGTCGTGCGATTCCCAGATGTTTCAGTGTTTTGTTGTTTTTTTGATTGGGTGTCCAATAAAAATCCACCTGTTGTTCACTGTTAGGGGATCTGAAAGCGGACGGCCCAGATCTCTGAGGCGATCTGTTCAAACGCCACCTTCAATTTAGCCGTTCCCCGCGGATCCTGAGACTCAGCTTCCACAGAAGGACTTAGCTCTCTCTTGAGCTCCGTTTCGGACTGAAATAACTTTTCGTGTCAATCAAGTGAGTTGGGTTTTGGACCTTTTTACTTGGGCAGTGAGTTTGTCAGGGTTTTTCGGGCTGTCCTGAAGCCCGAAGGAAACGCTCGTTTTGAGGGGTTCCCTGCTAAGGGACACCTAAAGGAATACCAAACCATCTTTTGCGGGGTCCTCATAGTTTCACACATGTCTGCCTACGTTATGGCGAGCTTACCAAGTCGGGGGCGGAACTAGCTCACCCTGAAGCTCCTTCACATGGGGATCCAATTCTTATTCCGGCTTTGGGGTTTCTCTGGCCCCTCAGAAGGCAAGCAAAACGAGGAATGGTGAGCTTTTCAGCGAAGAATGGATCGATCTCCCAATCTCCCGGGCCTCTCCAGCGCTGTGCGCCCTGGGAACTTGGAGCTGGTGAATTTCCACAGACCAACAGAGGCGTTTCTCGCGCACACGAAACGTGGTCTGGAACCGGTGTTCATCTGCGTGTGTTCTTCCTAGGGCCGAGATAATTTTGGAACTGGGCTTTGGGGTACGAATCCGAATTTTAGTCCTGGATTGGGATAAACTATTAGGTATTTGGCCTTATGCGCGCGACGCCTGAGGTTCAAGAAGAAGACAGGCCGCATTGAGCTGTTGTCGTTCGGCCGGCCGTGGGTGCCATTGTTCGGCCTAGAGACTTGAATTGGCTATGTGGCAAGATAAGACGTGTTCCCTGTGGTTCCCTTTGGACCACCTAAAAAAAGGTCCCCTCAAAAACGCACACAAACAGACACGAGATTGGCTAGAGTTGGAACCACCGCCGCGGCGGACCTTCATTCCCCCCCCCCCCGAATTCTGATGTCCTCCGACCAATCACATTTAGTTCTTCGAAGGGTGACTTTCTCAAAATTCCCGCGGCGTCACGAAATGTTGAAGCCGACGGGTCATTCCTAAAATATGATCAAATACTCAAGGGTTGAACTGGCATGGAAATGGCTACCAAATGTCAAATGTCGACCCTATAGGGTGTTTCTAATCGGTCGCCAAGCTAAAAGTTGACCAAACACTTCTAAAGGGTAGGTCCTAAAGCGGTTGAAATTCGACGCGGTTTCCTCCCAGCTGGCGAATCGGATCTGTGCCCTTTGTGACCCCCAAGCCTCCACCGTGGTTCACATCAGCGACAGGGTACGCTTGTTAACTTGCTGTCAGGGGAATGAAAATTGAAATGAAGCCGAGAAAAACCAGCCATCCTGTGTTTTGCTCAAAGGACCCCTGGGTCTACCCATCGCACCAGCAAGCAAAACATAAATCCATTTTGGGGGGTACTCCCTCAGCCGAGTATGGAAGCACGCAGCTAGAAGGCCTCCGTAAACGGAAAGTCTTCCAATTCCATATGCATCGCCTCTACTTCTATAGGGCCTTTTCATCTTGCTGATTTTTTCGCGGGAACCAGGGAATGGCCCGAACGAACTGAATTCACACCCTCGAAGGCTTGGGCACCAGCGATTTACTTCCTTAAAGGGGGCTCTTTGTTGGGATCTCCACTGAAAGGCTTGCACATTTTGAGCGACATTAAACAGAGAACAATGCAGTACGTTTCTGATTTTGTGTTGGGCAAAGCTGATGTTGGGTGCTACATTGCGAGGTGTTTCTGTTGGTGCAGGCCACGTCCCATGTGTTTCCCCGCCCCCCCCCCCCCCCCGCCTCGCTTCTGGCCGGGCCAAACATGTTCGTCGGCGCTTTGGCCTTGTCAGAGGCTGCGATGTTCTGTCCAACAAGAAGGCGTGCTTCAAGTTGGAGGCGCTTTGTTCGCTTCGAGCAGACGGCTTCCCAAGCCACTGGTGGCTGGAGTTGTCTTGACTCCTTCAAAACCATGGATGTCCGAAGAAGGAGGTCTAAAAACCCCGTTACCGGCGAGTATATGCTGGTTATATACCACTGAACTTACCCACCAAGAAACCATATGGGGGTTCTCAGAAAGGTGGACCCTCTTTTGTATGGACAAGGACAACCATTTCACGGCTCCGATTCCTTTGAGAGACACGCACGCGTGGTCCATACTCTTGTTTGGTTCATGGGATGGGGGGATGCCTGCAGCCCATGGAGCCATCGTTCAATGGGAGCGAAAACTCCACAGGCACTCTGCGGGTTTGCTTTGGTTCCTCTTTGGAAACCGACCCCAAATTGGGGACCCAACAAATGGCGGTTTCCCTTTTGTGTTCCTTTCAAATGTGCCCACACAGGGTACTCTCAAGAAAGACCCAAAGCAGATTTTTTTGCCGGGCGCTGGGTTCAGTTGCTTTGGCAGGATGCGGTCACCAAGACCAAGAAGATCCTCTCCGCGAACACGGAGGCAAGTTTGTTGCTTTTCGACCCAAAAACTCCTTTTGGTTTCCCCAAATGGCTCCAACATTTGGATACCCTCAAAAAACAACACACCCCCACACGAGCAGCACGATGCAGAACCCCCGGCTGGCTCGGAATTGGGGGAATCCGTCGTTCCACATGGCCGCTCTCCCGGTGTGACCGGTGATCGCCCAAGACCTTTTGGGTTTACTCAGAACCTCATCTTGGACTCGTACGAAGGAAATGATGAAGGACAGTGAGAGAGACAACCGTAGCGAGATAACCAACAGTATGAAACCAAGATGAATAAAGGAATGACCCGTCTCCATCTTCCCCACCTTCCTTATGAAGTGGTGGCTAGTTACGCATTTGTACAACCGGAGTTCCATGAAAATGCCACTGCCGCTTCGTTCCCTCGCGAAAGATCCAATTGCAGCTGTTCAGCCGAAAACATCCACGTGTTCCATTGATTCAGGTTCGCAGTTGGTGGTTTGAACCGATTGGCTTTGGGGATTTGAACCGCTCCTTTGGAAACATGTTGAAGCCAAATGGGCAAGGTACCCCCCTGATTTGTTGTCCAAACCGGGCTCCGAACCGCCAACTGAAGGCGAACTGCAACACTCTCGGGGCTGCATGTCCCTTTTTGAAAGCTCTTCATTAGTGGCGGCCGTTTCAAGGGAAACCACCAGAGAATTTCATCGACTTTTCACTGGACGCTGCCTGAAATGCTTGGACACAAATCCCCTATGTAAAAACAACGCTCCAAAAACCCGGACCAAAGCTGGCTGATGGAAGACCTGTCTCACCAACCCCTGTGTTTTTCTTGGCCAGGCCGGGGTCTCCTGCGAGTGCCTCATGGAGGACCACGACTTCGGCAGCGCCTCGCCTCGGAAGTTTATGCCGATCCGGGTGAGACGAGCAAAGGTCATGGAGATGTGGTTGTCCTCTTGGGCATCCGATTCAAAAAATTCAGCTCTTGGACATATGTCGATTCCGAATTCAGCTCTTGGAAGTATTTTGCCGGCGAGTTGCAGGTTTGGGGGGAGCAAAAAGTGCGGATGTTCTCTTTCTGGGCAATCCACTCAGGAAGTGAGTATACCCAGTATATGTCAAAATATGGAACTCAAGACAAGGCTCCAGCAACTTAACCACCGTAGACATCACCCCCAACAACCAAACTCATTCAAAAGTGGCAACCAAAAGGCGATGCTTAAATTGGCCAAAAAGAAACCAACAGGACACATCATGAACTTGGCGAGTCGACTATTTTGAGACAAAGCCTTATGAGTATGTGTCAAACAATGAAAGCCGAGCGATGGCTTTTTCAGCCATCCGCCGCCCACCTGTTTTTCGGGGTCTGGAAATGGCGGAAATGCAGTTCGGTGGACACCAAAAAGGCGTCCCTTTAAACCAACTTTGAAGGGTGGCCTCAAATTAATCACCTACGCCAGGGTGAAAGTGGATGGCAGGCAGCCTTCGTTTGTAGGGTTCTTCGGGAATGTCCAAACCATGCCAAACCGAATTGAACCATTGTAGTTTATATGAACCGTATGTGCAGATCCATGTGGATGCCCTTCACACCCGAAAATCGTGCGGAGCTCTTTGTCACAAGAAACCGCGCAGGGGAACCCACTTCAGCCTGACCAAACTGCATGTGTCAAGCACTCCCAAAAAAAGCGGCCAAGTCGCTCGCAAGAGCTGGGCGTGCTGCTGAATTTCCCAGACAGCTGAGGCAATGTCGACAGGGATACCTTCCTGGACATGTGCAAGCCCATGATGAAGAAGGCACGCCGCGAATTCGCGCGGAGCGGAGCTTTTTATGTATTTGCCGAGTAGGCCATACATGTGCGCTTTTCCTGAAATGGGGACAGCTGATATTTGGGAAATGTAGGGAATGCTATAAACCTCGCTTCAGAGCTCAATGCATTGAGTGAGATGAATTGGGGTGCAACCGGTGCCGAAGACCGTCGCTTGGCATGCGCCGACGCCAACTCGACACCTTCACAGGTTGAAACGTGGCCGGGCTTTGCTTCTTGAATGTCCCTTCAGCCTGCCACCCGGGTCCCAACTGCGGTGCCAAAGAAAGGGGATGAAGCTCGGGATGTACAAATTCCATGCACGCAGTCACTTTCCCATGGAACACCGGACGCTGAAGAAAGGGAACTCCAACGGCAACCGCTCGCCGTAGACTCCCCATTCTGTTCATGGGTAGTGTACTATTTGGCGGTGGGGTTTCCCTAACACCGCAGAGAACACCGAGCCTCAAAAAAGACTTCCCCACACTAGGTGTGTCTTTTTTCGGAAGCCCCCAAATTGTGTTGTGTCCCTTTTGGTTCTCCTTCGGCACCACAAAAAAATATGAGGAACCCCAAATTGAGTTGTTTTCCTGTTCTGGTGGTTCTCCTTTGACACCCTAAACAAACAACACATATGAGCCACAATCAAGACCCGGGTAGATGAAGGCAGAAATAGCTGCGGCCGCCTTCTTAATTATTTACATGGTTTTAGGGGACCGCAGATTTTAGTCCTTGGTTCCATTACCCAGTGTTCCATTTTTGGTACTCATTTTTGACCCACACCCATATCTTGTTGGTTCTGGGTTCAGCATTTTAGTACCGGGTTAGGGTTTTTGTGGCTCATATCTTGTTTGGAGACAGACCCCGTATGTTCCCCGCGGCTCGACTCTTCTCGGCAGGTCAGCGACGTCCTCGATGCGGCCAAAGCGGCCTGCAACCTCCCGCTGGCCTCCATCGATGCGGCCGGCGCCCCAGACGCTCGAAGCCGGCCGGGCCGCGGGCCCGTTTTCGGTGTCCTTTGCCACTCCTTAAAAAACAGAAAAGAACAAATGCAACCATTTGAAACATGTTGCTTTTTCAACAAAATGGGACACCACCATTTACGGGGCAATGTCCAGGTGTATAATGTAAGGATCCCTGGGGGCGTTTTGGAGTCCGGTTTGGTTGTGGTAGACCATGGATGGCGATTCTTGGTTGACGTTGTTTCAAAATAAAACTACCAGGGAAATCCATGTATGAGCTAAAGAGGTGGAAAAGCCGTGGCTTTGCTTTTCCCGGACTTGGTTTGTTTCCTGTTCAAAGACAGCGCAGCAAACATGGGCGCGGTGCCCTTCTTCTTCTTCTTCTCCTCCTCCTTCTTCTTCTTCTTCTGCTTCTTCTTCTTCTTCTGCTTCTTCTTCTTCTTCTTCTTCTGCTTCTTCTTCTTTGAAGCACCAAGCCACCTCACATAATTCTAGGTGCGGGTTTTTTTGTCGTTTCCCTGCGAAACCAGCAGAAAAGGGGGGTCCGCACACATGTCTCCAGAGATCCGAAGCTGCGGTGGCTTCCGTTCGACCCAGTCCCGGGAATCCATTTCTGGCCCATTTCCGGGGGAACTTTCTGTCCAGTTGGCTTCCCAAGACCCCAAAACGAGTAGCCTTGGAAGAAGAAGCGCATGGCCACCAGTTCAGGTCGCAACTCCCCAGCTGCTTTTTGGTTTCCGCAAGGGGGGATTTTGGACATCCAGGCTCCACGACTGCTTTTGGACCCTGCGAATGGGTTCGTTTTCAAGGGCCGCTGGGTGGGTTCTGACACCCCGGGGCCCACTGGAGGATCACGAGCCCCGGGCTGGGACGGGACCTCTTCGCTCGATCCAAAGGTGGAGATTTGCGGCGGAGCTGCTCGCGTGCCCTGGGTCAAGGACCGGACCGAACTACCAGAGATCAGATTGAATAATCTGTCGCCAAAATGTGTGTCGTCTGGATCATTTTGTAAACCTCATGTCACAAATGGTTCTCCCCCGGAGAAAAGAAATTAGTAAAAAGAAGAATCAACTCCGAATCCGCAAAGCTCCGAATCCCCGGCAAAAAACCCTCCCCCAATCCGCGCGCCGGCGATCCCTCAGGAGATGTGTTCCAAGGCCTTCGGAGGCAAAGAGCTGTCCACCACCATGAACGCGGATGAGTGCGTGGCACGAGGACCGCGGGTTGGAAAAAATGCCACTCGCGAGCCCCGGGGGCTCGATGTCTGGGAAGCCCGGGGAAAGGGGGGAGGGGGAAGTGTCATGATTTGTGTGGCGGAGATAATTCTCTGAAAACCGAGGTGGTGGGGGCGGCGGGGGGAGGGGAATCGTCATGATTGGTGCCGTTGATGTGGGCAAACTGGGTAGACATGAGAGGACGCCCCATGTGTGAAGGGCCTCGGAATACCTCGCCAGCGCTTAAAAAGTCCAGTCGGAGGCTTGAGCTCCGTCGGTTTCGTGGCCATCCGAAACCAGCGGTGATGTTTTTCTCCTTCGGTGGTGGAATTGTTGTTTCGTGTTTCGAGGGGATCCAAAAACGGTGGTCCGATTAGGCCTAAAAACGCGCAGAAGCAATGAGCCCCAATCCCTTTGGACCTAAGGCAGGAAGAGAATTCCAGCGTACTGAGGTTCCTGATTAGTCGAAGCCCGACCAAACGTGTAGCGCACCATGCGCGCACAAATCATGTTCATGGTCTTCAAGAAACAAAAAGTGCCGAAACAAAATGGATTCTGCTGGACGCTGTGTGTTGGCTCCCATGTTAGTCGTGAGGGGACTCTTCGCCCGGATTGACCATCTTAAGTGTCGACATGGCCCTGATCCCATTGTGCCCCGAGCTCGCTCCGTGCCACAAGTGGGGATGGCTCAAACTAGGTGACCCCCAGCGTGCATGTGCTTAACCGGAAACCCAGCAGAAACCATGCTCATAAAGCGACCTGCGCCAAAAAGAACCAACCAGGAGCAAGTGAGCCCTAAGTTTTTGGATCAGCAACCAAGCACTTGACGAAAAGAGGACGCCTAAACCACTTGGCGACCAAAAGCAAAACACGAAACCCGCTGTTTGCAGAGCTCCCACGGGACTCCAACAAAATTCTCGACCCTCGCGATCCCTCCCCCGATTTCTTCGGATCGCGCGTGTTCGACGATCCGCTTCGATTCGAGCGCGCCAGGTTGCGCCTTGCAGGCGGCCATGTTGTCGCCCTTGTACAAGGTCCGGGACTTCAAGGTGGAGGACGGATGGTCTGGTCGGGTCTGGTCGACGGGTCGATGGCCCAGCGGAAGCGAATGGGCAAGGCGGTGGCTGCGTCCTTTTTTTGGGGGCACCTCCCGAAAATGAGTGCGTCTTTCTCTTAAGGGGTACCGTTCGTGGCGTTGTTTTTAGGCAAAAGCTTTTGCACAGGCACTTCGCAACGCAATCCCATTAATTCAATGGGGAGTGGTTCAAAGACAACCCCGCACTCCCAGAGGACAAAGAGAGGGCCCAAAAAGTATGGTACCCGCATGTGTTCACCCAATCCTGCAGCGGACAAACAAACGGCATGTTTTTGTTGTTCCATCTCAGGTGTGGTCACGACCGTTCCCTTCATCTACCCAGGCCTTGATTGGGTTACTTCCTACTTTTTGGGCAGACCGGAAGAATTTAGTACTGAACTCAGGAAGTGAGACTGCTCTTGCTTGTTATTCCCGAGAACATTTCACTCATGAAATGCGACATTGGCGCATGGCATCACAGTGCACATTCTGAGAGGGAGGCGGTTTGAAAGAGGAAGCAGAAGGAAGAACTGTTTGACGTTGGGGTTTTCGTTGAAACTGCCACAAACAGCGGGCGGGCGGGCGGGCGGGCGGGCGGGCCGGCGCTAGTCACTATGCAAGGGCTCCCCTTGCTGTGAATCAGTACAGTCGTGTTGGGTGAAAGAAAGCGGAACACTTCCCGTCAGCAAGTCGTTGACATGTTTCTAGATGTCTTTCTTGTCTTGTTGGTTCTGTTCACTTTTGAGGGACTGCAAACAAGGCTGTTTGCTACCATAGCAAGGGTTGGAAAGCCCCCTCATTTTGGTCACGCGTCCCCTTTATCAACAGACTTGCGCCTGCTTTCACCGATTCACGCGGCCCCCCGCGGCCCGATCGCTTCGAAGGATAGCTGCAAGTTCCCGATCAGCCGGGGCCCCGATCGAACGATTGGAGCTCAATGGAAGCCACCCGTGAATTGAGCAACTCTTGAAGGGAAGTCCTTTTGGACCCCTGGTGATGCATGTGTTTCCTTTTGGCTTGAAGATTGCTCCAAGAGTTTTTCCTGAAACCTGGTGAAACCACCTTTGGATGGTGTCCTTTTGTCCCGGGGCCAGTCCAAGTTTCTATCTGCAGGTGACGATCGGGTGAGTTAATATTGTTGGGGTGAAATAAACCCCCACAAATGTCAAATCCCTTGAAGAGAGACCAAACGTCGATCTTTGTGCTGTTCTGGCACCCCCTTAGTTCGAATAATGCGACTCCCCCAAAGGTGTACAACCCCCTGGCGGAGAAGTACATCACAATATGACCGAGGTTTCATGTGAATGTTTCAGGTTAAGGTCTCGCTTGTCAACGGAATTGCCCAAGCAAGTCATGAAGCGAGAATTTCCATGCACCACCATGAATGAAAAATCAAGAACGAGCTATCAATCCGTCAATCCTATGTCTGGACTTGGTAAGTTTCTCCACCGAGTTAAGGAACTGGCCCTTTCGTACCCTTCCTAGGGTGGCGTTGTGAAGCCAAAACGGACCCCGAAATCCATGTTGGGGAAGATCCGATCCCTATTAGACACACCATACCCATCAGGGCCATATCAATCTGTAAAGGTCCCAAGGTTCCCTTTCAACGGCTGAATCTATATGCCCATCAATGACCCCCTGGTATGACCCCCCCAGCTCGTGGCCTTTTCAGAACAAAAGGCGCGGGGAAAAGATCCATCCCGGCCGCGGGTCCAAAGAAAGTGGCCATGGGTTGGACCATCCAAGCCTTCGATTTGAGTCCTGGTGGCTTGGGGGCTGCAACCGCTGCCGGGCTGCCGGGCCCGTAGGTCTGGGCTGGCAAATGCCAACCACCGAGGGCGAATCCAAGGCGAGGAGTTTTTTGCGGTGCTGGACACCGTTTTGGAGCAGTTTTGTTCCATTGGCCTTCACTGTTCTTGGGTTGTTTTGGGACTGTGTGTGTTTTGGAGCAGTTGGTAATTTTCTTCTTTTCTTGTTGTTTGTTTGGTGTTCTGTTCATTGTTACTTCAGGGCTGCCAACAAGCAACGTGTTTGTTGTTGTTGTTGTTTGTTTGTTTGTTTGTTTGTTTGTTTGATTGATTGTTTGTTTGTTTGTTTGTTTGTTTGTTTTTTGGGGGGGTTGGTTTGTTGGCTCTGTTCATTTTTACCAGGGCTTGCACAAAACGTGTTTGCTGCATACCAAGGGTTGGAAAGTGGCCAAAGCGAATCCACTGAAGCTGACCTTTTAGTTTCCCCAGGTTAGGTTCGCATTTTTTGTTATGGCCTGAAAGCGTGATCACCGTTTATTTCTGAATCCTTCGGGCAACTGAATTGTTGCCGGCGATTTCTTCACCGTCGCCACGCAACATTTCCCACGCTTTTCTTGGGGAAAGATGATGTCGTCCTCTCACATGAGCCGTGGTAAACCGATTCTGCGGTAAGCCGGCAAAAAAAGAAAAACGCGTCACCAGAATGGAGGCGCGACGACTCTAGTGCAATTGCTGGATGCCACAGCCTGCCAAAAGCGCCAATCGCCCGTATCCACCTTCGCTTCAGCGAAGGCAACGGCGGCCCTATCCCTCGATCCCCATACACAAGAAATCCATCGAATCTCCCGGCCATGGGAAACCCAAGAGAAAACAAACCTGCAGACTGCAGAAGCTATTTTTTTTCAGGCTTTCTGGTGACCACCTTGTGGCTTCCCTTTCGCCCCAAGATCGGCAAACCGAGCCTCAACAAAACAACGCAGGCCATGAGCTCCGTGGTCTTTGGCAGCGACTCGGTGATGAATCTCCTGAAGGCAACCAGCCGGACGGGTTGGACCCGCTTGGTCTGTGGCGATGGGTCAACATTGGATACCCAGAAACTGTGACCCTTCTGGGTTGTGAGTGGTTAGGGTCTTAATGGACAGGTGGTTGGAATTCGCACCTGGCCCAATGGCTGGGGGTGCGAAAATTGGTCCTTGTTATGTTTTTGCTGTGTTCGAAATGTTCACTGCCAAGACAGGTTTTGTTTTCATAATTGCAAAGCTGGACGAGCGCAACGGACGAGTGCTGACTCATTGGTTGGTTGGATGGATGGATGGATGGATGGACGGATGGTTGCTTGGTTGAAGGGAAGCATTGGACAAACTCGTGAAGCCATGTATAATATAGAGAGAGAGAGAGCTGAAAGAAACCCAGAAGACCTATAAGCCCGTGCACTAGACAACAGCCACGAAGCACAACACACACACGCACATAACCCACCCACCCACCCAACCATCCACCCACCCAGGCACGCACGCACGCACGCACGCGCGGGCGCGCGCGCGCGCGCGCCACGCGGCACGCGGCACGCCGCACGCCGCGCGGCACGCGGCGCGCGGGCGGCGCGCGCGGCTCGGCGCACGGCTCACGGCGCACGGACGAGCGCACGGGCGCACGCGCGCACGGGCGCACGGGCGCACGCCCGCCCGCCCGCGCGCATGCACGTACGCGCACTCGCACGCACACGCACCCGCACCCGCACCCGCATCCGGCACACACACACACTCTCACTCATTCACTCACCCACTCACTGAAGCGGCGGCCTGGCAGGTCATCACCTTCCGCAGGAAGGCGCCCTTCGAGCTCACAGCAGTCTATGGCGAGGGCCTGCCTCCCGGGGCCTCTAAGGCGACGCCGACTCGACGCGGACTCGACGCGGACTCGATGCGGGGTCTGTCTCGTTCGGGTTCTGCTTGGCGTCCGAAAAAAATGTCAGGAGTCACTGAGGTCTGTGACCTTGTTTTTGGCGCGTACCCCCCAAAACTGGCGCAGCCGGGTTTCCAGTAAAGAATCAAACCAAAGAGAGGCTCGGTTCCCTAAAAAAGGAAGACACTGACCGGAGCAAAGCGGCAACGAACTACGTAGTTTTATCTACCCAACACCAAGGAGATAGCTTTCCAGACAAACGCAGTTCTGTGGTCTGTCCTTTTGATTTTTTGGTGTTTGGCGGACAGGGGGGATCGTGGATGGTTTTGTCCTCATGTTGCTTCCTGTATGTGCAGGTGATTTCTCACGACTGCTGTGAGCCCTTTCAAGGATAGGAATCGCTTCTTAGCACCCAATGGCGAGACTTTAGTGCTGGCGTGCCAGGTGTTCATCCTTTTGAACCAACCCCAAAAGAGGGTGCCCTGAAAAACATAGCCCCCAAATGAGAAAGAGGATGTTCTTGAAAGGAATGTTTGATGTTCGCACGGAAGGAAACTTACTGAATGCTAAATAGCCCTTTGATTAGTTTACCCAAAGGAAACCCAAAGAAGATTTGTGTTTGCTGGATTTTTCCTGGCGCCCTATTCAGCGCCCAGTAAGGAAAGTTATGTTGGGCGCATTCGCACGCACTTTTTTTGGCCAGTTTTCTTTCTGTCAGTCCTTGGCAACTTTTCAGGTGACTGAAGCTCAGGTTTCGCTTCGTTTCCAACCGTAACTTGCGCTCGATGGGGCAAGGGTTTTGACGTAGTTCGATCTACCATTGACACGTCAACTCGATAACTCATCTAGGTCCCCCAACTAGGTGCCCTTCTCACCCCTTTTTTGGGGGGAGGGGTTCCTTACTGAAATAGACTACAGAAAAAATCGGTGCCCTTATTCTAACCTCTCTACTGAAAAACCTAGTCATATCTTGAACCCTATGGACAGCTGCCTCGGACTCTCCGGAGAATGTTTGGTTCAATCCATCCGCTGTGTTTTCGTCCACTTTCGAAGCAGTTCCTGCAGTTGTTTAGCCTTTGTTGCCTGCAACTGGCCCCATTGTTTCACCCCCTACGTACGCAAACAGGACATTGATAACCCTGAAAACCGTCAAATGACACAATGTGTCGGTTATCATGTGAAGTGTCTCATATAGGGTTCCACTTGTCCAATATGAGGCTCCACTTGTTTGTCTTGGTTGTTGTTATGGCAACCGTCTAGGTTGACAGTGGGATCATGTGTATTTGACAGAGTTATTTGGTGTCACCACTTCGGATGGTGATATGCTCCTTTCGACAGAAAAGCATTTCCTGACTGTCGCACCTTTTGCCGGGGCTCAGTTCTTTTTGTTACAAAAGTGATCATGCTTAAAAGCGTCAGTGATCATATTTATTAGGCTTGAATGATTGTTGGTTGCAAATCTGAATGGGGTAGATGCATCAAAGCCTACGATCAGCTTGACTAGGTAATTTTACCTCACCCACAGGTGTCGTTATTTTTTGTTTTTTAGTTAGTTTGGTTAGAAATTGATGGGTTCCACTGGTTTAGATTTAAATGAATTTCATGCCCCATTTACTAGGGAAACCTATCAAGTTTACAAAAAGGCACCTACTGTGGACAAAGTCCTGCACCATGTGGAAACAAGGGTTGAAACCATTGTTTTGTTGGTATTTACGTTGGAGAATCCTGAGAGCCCAAGTTTTGCAACCACACTACGATTTACCAAAAAACCACCTATGACGATCCTACCCGCCTGGGTGTCAAGCCCCATTTACCAACCCATCGACTTCACCAAATAAAACAGGCACCTCTGACCTTGGTGGCTCCCAGCCAGCTTTTTAGATTTTTAGTCTTCAGTGGTTTCCATATTTAACGCACTAAAAGTTCTCAACTTTTAGCCGGGGATCGGAAAACGGGCAGCCCAGTGACTGTTCCCTTTTCGGGCTCCGATCCCAGCGAGGACTTGGGGACCTACGTCATCGAGGTGCCGTCCCTGGAAGCGCCGAAGAAGGTGAAGGCGGGGCTGGGTTAACGTCTCGCTGAACGTCCACGGATTTTTCTTGGTGCTTCCCAGCCGTCTTTTTTTCAGGTTGGTTTGGTCGGTTTGGTTGGTTTGGGTAGGTGTCCCGTCCGTTTTGTTCCTTCTTCTTTCTTTGTTCAGGTGTTTAGTTGCTTTGTTGTCCATAATGAAACCCACAAGCCAAACTCATTTTTAGCGGATCGGACAAAGGACAGCCCAGGTTTTATATGATGTGCCGGACTTGGTGGCCTTTGAAGCATGTTTTAGTTTTCCCTTTTTTTTAATGTAAGGGGGAATGGGGAAAAGGGGTTGCGGAATGTAGCTTTTTGTGGGTGGCTGCCTGAGCGGAGAGAGACTGGGCCCGGCGGGGTTCTCAAGGCTGTCGTCTGACTGTTTTGTGGGCTGACTCTTTGTTGACGATTTGTCGTGTAAGTGACGCTGCAGAGCAACAACATGTCTCACTGAACATAGATCGTATACATGTGTTTCATGTATTCCCAAGAATGTTCAACGAAATAAACCCAGGCCCCAAGGAATTCAGGAATTCTGGTGCCTGGTTTCTTTTGCCCGGCCAAAAAACACCATTTTGGCGCCCACTTTGTGATGGGTGCCGAGGTCAAAACCGCGCTGACGGTCCATGGCACTTTCTGCGTCTGGGGACCCGGGGACCTGCGGGACCTGCTGGGGTGGGGGCCTTGCCCTTGGGGCAAAGGCCAAAGAAGAAAAAGCTCAAAGAGAGGCAAACCCAAGAACCTAACCCCCTTGTTTTGGGGAAGAAATCCCAAAGTGAACCAAACGGAATCACCCCTTCCAAAAAGCCCTTAAATGCTGGGTAAAGCCCTTGAACATCAAGCAACCCAAAAGAGAGCGCCAAGTCGTTTTTTCTTTTGGCAAGGCCCAAAGGGGGGTTCCGGTCATCCCATTTTGGGACTCCCCTTTGACACATACCCACGTTTGAGTCATGTCTTTCTCATATCTCACAGTGGGCATGCAAAATAGGGAACTTGATTTGGGGGCCCTCAAAGAGTTTTTTTTGTTTGCGTCCCTTTCAACCAATCTCAGAAGGATACCCTCAAAACAGCACGCAGCTGGGTGTGAAAAGAATTTAGGTAAACAATGGTGGTTATATATATATATGTGCATATATATATATATATATATATATATATATATGAACTCCGCCTCAAACATATTTTTACTTGAAGCTAGCTTGTGCGTGCTGTTTTTTGTTTGATGGAAACCAACGGGAACCAGTCATTGTAGCGGTCCACCTGTTGAGACACGAACTCCTATGTTGGTTTCTATCGACATGGCCATCATGTTTTGATGGTTCCTTGAAGCACCCAGTGGGGAAGTTCGAATTCCTTCCTGCACCTCCCCAACAGTCCTCTCTCGTGATCAAAACATCTCCTTGGCGTTCCCCCAGAAAGCAAACCTTGGCCTTTTGTATGGCTGAGTTGCCCATGCTGCTTGTAATTGGACATATTTGTTGGGTGGTTTCTTGGTCTTTTCGGGTTTGGACCCCCCCTCCTCCCCTAAAATGGACATGTCGGTGTTGTTGGTCTTGTTTTCGGGTTTGGAGTTTCAACCCCCCCCCCCCCCGAACAAAAAAGAGGTGTTTTTCGGTGTTCGTGTTGGTTCTAAACCAAAAAGGCGAGGCGATCAAGGCATATGGAACTCAATGGAACTCCTGATGGAAGGTGCAGGGGGCTCAGCTCGTGGAGGAGTTGGAGGCCTTCGATCGGAGATGAAGCTGAGATCTGCTCGGTTTTTTTTGTTAAATCAGATGGTTAGTTGACTTTGCTTGGATGTTAGGACTTTCACTTTTTGCCAACTAATGGGTTTTCCACAACTTTTAGCAGGGGAGCAGAAAGCAACCGAGGTTAGTTGGTTGCCTTGTGTGAATTGGCCCATTGGCGGTTCATGTTTGATCGGATGGGAAGTTGAGAGATGAGTTGGCTGGCTCTGGTGAATTGGCTGGCACCGTGGCGAATAAAGCGGCTTGAACATCAGGTCGGTCCATTGTTTCATTGTTTGGGGGTGGTTTGTTGCTCTGGCTGTTTGATTGGCCGGCAAGTCCGAAGGAGAAGGCGACTCAGACAAACCCTCCATTTTTGTTCCCACAAGAATGTTTGATTGCATGTTTTCCAGGAGCTATCCAAGACTAAGATGTGTTTGTGCTTTGTGCCACTTGGTACCACAAAGATGGGAAACTAGGGCCATTGGCATGGTGATTTATGTTTCCATGTGTTTCGAGCATTTATGGGGGGGGCGGTGACAATTTCCGCCGAAGCATTTGATGCATGTTTGGCAAGCTTGAAAAGTGGTGCAACGGGGTGCCTGACTTGAACGTAATGGGCAGCCCTGGTGGTTCAATAGGTGAGGGGATTCATCACTTTTGGAGGGAACAGCCCCCATTACTTGGAAGGCCTTCTCAATCCTGGGTCAACAATACGCGGCATGTGTCTCTCAAGGTAAGCAACTGATCCATGAGTGGCTCGTGTTTTTCGAGGCTGCTCTTTTGTTGGTCCATTTTTGGGCACGGAAGTCCGCTCCAAGGTCGGCTATGGGAAACCAAATGAGAAACCGTAGCTCCTGGAGATCCGAGTCTTCTTTTGGGCCTCGGCGCTCGAGTTCCTTGGGCTGGATGTTTGGTGTTGAGTGCTCCGAATTTCGCCCAGTGAAGCACTTTGAGGCAGGGATCAGAAAACGGACCGTTGTGATCCTTGCACCTGGCGCTTTGGCTCCGCCCTTCTGGGCATTTTCACTGGGAACTAAACCCGTTTTTGGGTTGCAGCCGTAAAATGCTGATGCAGGAGCAAGATGCTCCCATGCCCGACGCCGCAGAGGGCAACGAGGCCCAATGCATCCGATTCCCGGGCAAAGCCGCTGGCTCAAAATAGGAGTAATTTCGAATGCGGTTTCCCCATCCCCATCACTGTATGCCAGAGCTGGGCACGGGTTTCAACATAGGCGAGATTCCCGGCAGTATGGTTTTCTGGAGTTCTTGGTGGTTTGCTGATGGAACCAGCCCAAAGAAGGGTAAGAACAGAATCATCTGAATCTGTTTGGAAAAACAAACCCTGGCCCCATTCAAAGGGCAGCTAAAAGGATGCTTGAACGAGGGCCCTCTTGATATCCAATTCCCAAAATTTCTGCCATTGATCAGGTCAGGAAAAGGTCCCTATATGTTCCTTAAAGGGTGGTTTAAGGCTAATGTTAAGTGAGCTTTCTTTTTGGTGGGCGATGTTGGGGGAAATCTGGGGAACCCTGTCAATGGGCCATTTCCGATTTCCAGCAACCATTTGTTCCCAAGTCAAAGGAGAGGATGTTGTCTTTCCCCAGGCCCGAACGAGCAAACGAGCAAACACTTTTGGAAGGTGGAACGCAAGGCAAACCAAGAGGAAGCCATCCACTCTCGTTGGTCCATTTCCCTCAAGGGGCTCTCCTGTCGTGAATGAGATACCGCTTGGGAGGAGATAGGTAGATCCTCCAGACGTGAGAAAAATTAGAGCATAGATATTCGTAGATCATTAGCCTTTGAAGACTAGGTCCCCCAGCTAGGTGCCTTTTCTCCCCCTTGTTTTGGTTGGGAGGGGTTCCCTACTAAAATAGACTACAGAAGAAAAAAAAGTTGGTACCCTTCTTCTAACCTCTCAAATCTGGAGGACCTAGAAGAGTACCCCACAGTCTGACTTCGCAAAGATGGCTCCTCGGATGCACCCGAAAAAAAGTCCCAAGCCACACCTTTGCGCCCTTCGTATCTTGTGAAAAAGGCGAACCTAGAATCCAATGGGCTCATTTGGCCAGGTCCAAAATTGCCAAACGCTTCAGTTTGGTTGGGCTGATGTTTTTCAAAAAAACAAAAAACAAAACAGTATTCTTGAAGAACCCTGACCTTATAAGCCTTGCATCTAGCCTCGCCTCCTTGCCTTTAGAAGGCCTCCACAATATTTGGAAGGCTGGGTTTTGGGATCAGAGGTCCCAACGTTTTTGGTGGGTCTTTGGAATATCCCATTCTAGAAAACTGATTATTCCTCTAGAAATCCTTGGAAAACTCCAGAAATTCTTGCGGGCCTTGGGACCAAAAATCGCCGTCTTGTTGAGCCAAAGTTCGTCCGACGCCTCACTTCGCTAAATAGGCGTCGCGGAAGAGGAAGAAGCTGAAGCGCACGGATCTGCAGATCACCAAGAAGGGCTGCCGCTGGGCCGCAGCGGGGGACGGGGCTTGGGAGGGGTTGTGGGGGTGGGAGAGGGAGGGGGGTGGCTTGGGGGGAGGAATGGAGAGAGGCAACTGAGGCAGAAACTGAGAGATGTGGCTTTTTCCGTTGGGATGTTGCGAATAGAAGGAGGGGGGCGTGACCTTTCTGGTTTCATGTTTTTTAACATGCGGAAGCCGCTCCAAAAAGTGCGCCAAAGAAAAAAAATAAATCATTTTGAAAGCTAGGGAAGGTTCCATAGAATAGTTGCAACTTAGACTCCGTTTGGACCGTAAAGAGGCGTTCAAAAACATACACAGGCCCCCAAGTTGAAACCTCTTGATTTCTTTAACCATCCAAGCGAAGCGGGGCCCGGAGTTCCCAACGGTTGATTGGCGGTATTCCCCACCACACGAGCCAAGAACCTTCCCCAGAGCATTGGCAAAAGGAATCCACAAAAAAAGTCACCTTCAATGGTTCATGAGCTGTCCCGAGTCATGTCTCCTTTTTGGTTTTGAACTCACCTTTCTTGGTGGCAACCCTTGGTGCATGTTTCCTTCCAGCTTTCGAAGAAAAAACATGTCCTTCCAATTGCTGACATGCTTCTTCTGTTTTCATTATTTCTTCTGGGTGTATTCACCGGGAATCCATACATGATGTTTTTGTATAGTTCCCCCGGGGTTTCACCGGGAATCCATTTCGCCGGAGCTGTTTTGTTGGGCTGAAACCGAGCCGGACAACGCCGAGAGAAACATCGTTCCGAGGCCCCGGCCTGGGCGAGGCGGCGTGAGCGGCTTAGAGCATGGCCCAGGGCCGGTTCTTTGCCCCATGTGTTGCTCAAAGCTGGGAAGCAAACAAAAAACCTCCATATATATATATATACATATATATATATCCATATATATATATACATATACATATATATATATATATATACACATATACATACATATCATGTAATATCATATTTACATATAATATAATATGTATATGTATATGTGTATACATATAGTATATACAGCGTGTATATATATATATATATGTATGTATATAAGATGTGTATCAGACATAAATGTATATATACATATATATGTATGTATTTGTATAAGCTCCGTCATTGGAACCATCGGACATGGCGTGGGTTCTCAAAATGATGGACCCCTTTTTTGATGGTTTCAATCTCTGGCTGCGTCCAAGCCGTGTGGCATTTTGCTGCATGGGCTCATCTTGCAGCCCATACCACCTGTGAGTGGCCTCTCTTTTGCCTCAGGCTAGGACGAGGCCCAGTGTGTGGTTGCGGCTTAAGTGATCACAGTGGGAAGCGCCTGCGGGAACCGCTGCCGTTCGAGGATGTGACGCTGTCTTGCCCTTGTGCCGGCCAGTCGCGGTTCGCGATTGGTGCGGGTGGCGGCCCTGACTAGCCAAGTGGAGGAGGCAATGACGTTTACGGAGCCTCTTGCGAAGCCAGGAGGGATGGCGCCTTAGGCAGTGGCTCTGCGCTTCCCACCTAGCGCAGCAGCTTTCGCTCACTCACTGATGGTTTCAATCATGATCGAGGAAACAGCAACCCAGCTGGGTTCTTCTTTGTTTCCCTTTCAACATGCAAAACGAAGATCCAATTCCCATTTGAGACAGGCCCCATTGCCAGCCACTTGCCGATTTGGCCCGGTCGATCACTAATGTTGGAGCGCAAAGCTCTCCATGGAGAACTTCCAACTTCCAAGAACCACATGGGCGGGCTTTGATTTGTTGTTGGTGCCTTTGTTTAAAGGAAGCCCACGAGTAAAACCCGTTGCATGCCATTTCGCTCAAGAAGGACACCCCCCAAATAATTCGTGGAGTATGTTGGTTGCCTCGGTCCAAACTTCCAAGTGCTTCCAAATCCCAAAGCGGAAGATATCGGGGTGCTTGAACTGCAAGGAGCAACCCCTTCGAACAATTAGTAACTGACCACTGGCTCAAAACTCTAGGGTTGATTCCAACCATTTGTTTCAACCATCGTTCTTTTCAATACCAATCGCTAAGTTCCCATGGATTTTGCTGGCTTTCTAGAAAGATTCAGATCCCTGGAAAGAATGAGGAAGCTACCCTTAGAGAACCCGGGGTAAGTGAAGGTGATTGAAGGTGCCGAGAGAGTTGTTTGGTCCTGGCCGCCTTCGCCTTTTCAGTTCCTGAGGCATGTGTCTGAAAATCGGCCGTTTTGATGCCGATCGGTTTGTCATCGGCCGACTCCGGGCACGTTTTCCCAAACGCAGAGTCTAGGCTAAAGAAGAGCAAGGAGAAGGAGGAGAAGATGATCCAAGAAATGCAGGAGATCCCGCGTCCGTTTCTCCGTGGTTTGCAGATATCTTTGGACCTGGGTCGTTTTGTTTTTGATTTTTTGGGGCACCAATGTTGGTTACATGCTTGGATGTGGTGTGGGTTTGCAAATCGCATGGGAAGTGGGAAGTTAAGAAGATTCGATGCTTGGTTGACCTGCAGTGCCGCTGGTCAGTTGTTTAACTCTGGCACGACCTGCAAATTTGCAGAACAGATTGGCCTACACCAGCCCCAGCAGTTGGACGGTAAACCATTCTCGAAGCTGGGGAGCCCCCGCCAACTATTGACGGCTCCTTTTGTTTCCCTTCAACACCCAGGTGTGTGCTTTTCGAGGGTATCCTTTTCAGATTGGTTGAAAGAGAAAAGGAACCGAAATCCATGTGAGGGTCCTATTTCATCCCATTTAACACATACCCACTCGGAGGTACCATGAATGCAAAGCGACATCACTTCTATATTCAAAGCGAGTGTCAAAATACGGAAAACCCCCCAAAAGTATGGGTGTTTCCTTTTGCTTCCCTTTGCCTCAAAGAAACGCTCGCTTCGAAGCTTGACCTTTCGCGAAACATTGTTTGTGTCCCTTTGTTTTCTTTCCTTTGTTCCTGTCCCTTTGCGTATTCTTCTTACGTTTGCCTTTTTTTGTTTGTTTCCCTGTGTTTTTTCCAGCTGTTCAGATATTTGTCCTGTTGATTGGTTTTTCCCCGCACTGCTTGTTCTTCTTTCCTTGCGTTGTGTTGGTGTTTCCCTTGTTTCCCGTTGTTTTGTCTCATTCTTCAGCCGCTTCTTTGTTCCGGCCAGCGGATGGAGCATGAGAAGCAGACCTTAGGTTTCTTGGCTCGTTAACCCGCGCCCGGGCAACCACGCGCTTGCGCATGGGATCCGGACACGCAAGCATTCACATCCCGCGTTCTCCAGCGGTCCTGCATCCCTCTGGGCCTCTGGGTTGTGCTTTGTTCGGGCTGGCGTAAAGGGGGTGGAACCCCGGAGGAACACCAACATCTTCGGTTGCTGCCCCTTTGACACACCAACTTTCAGTGGCAAACAACCAGCTTGGGCCTTTTTTTCATACCGAGACATAGCAAAAAAACACAGATCCAAGTGGCACTGGCCGGGCGCCATCCGCCCACATTTCTCCCTTCGAACTCTGGTGGCCAACCCGCCGACCGAGATGTCGCCAGGAAGTGATCGAGATCAATGCGAGGCGGGAAATTTGCCTCTGCGATGGTGGTGGAGTGGGGGGGGGGGGGGGGCTGGGTACGTTAAAGTTGATGTATCTGGAGGGCTTCTCAAAAGTTTGCTTTTGCTTCGGTGTTTTTCCATGCAGCCAAAGAGTCATTTGGGTAATCTTCGGGATGTCACTTGGGTATGACTTTCTTGTAGGGACTTGGTGGACACCATGTAGGGGATTTATGTCCACCAACCGCTTTCAGGGGGTGTCCCCTCAAAATTCATAGCCATTGGTGCCGGGTATTTTATGGGAAAGCGGGGCTTGAATGGTCTCAACGGCCAGGGTGCATACGGGAAGTTTCGAGAGCGCAAAGCATGTTGTTTTTAGGGGACCCCCTCAAAAAAAGAAAGAAACTAGTGGTGTTTTTTGGTTTCCCTGCAAACCACAAATTGGGGGATTGAGACAAGACACAAACATTTGAGTTTGTCTCCGGAATCTTCCAGAATCGGCGGTGTCCCCTTTGTTTCCCTGCAAAGCAATCCTCAAAATGACTAGGTCCCCCAGTAGTGCCGTGCCCTTTTACCGATTCTTTTTGGTTGGGAGGGTTCCCCTACTAAATAGACTACAGAAAAAAATGGGCACCTAGATGACGTCACGGTGCCCACTTTGCGTCCTGCGAGTGCTGGTCATCCGCCTGGACTTCCTTCCAAGGGCCCGTTGTCGGGGCAAGCGCAGCGCTTCTGCGCGGCGCGGCGCTGAGCGCCAGGAAGAACGATTTGGAGGCGTACATCCTGGGCATGCGGAGCAGTGCTCCTGGCCAGATTCAGTGCTGCGTCCCATGGGAGCGGGGTGTTGTCTGGGAAAAACCCTTATGGGCGGGCGGGTTTTCGTGCCGACCGACTTCACTCCCGGAGTTGTTGAAAACTTTCGGGGCCCAGCATCTCAATGGTAAGAGTTTGGCCCTTTGGCCAATCCACGGAAGTGGGACGAAAAGTCCCGCCAAATTTGCACCCGGTCTTCGCTCGGAGAGTTTCCACTCATGGGAACTTTGATGTATGAACTTTGGAAGAGTGTCCGAGTTTCCAAAGATGAACCTTCACAATTGCCGCGCCCCTTTCTCACTCAAGGTGTGTGGTTTTTTCAGCCAGGGCCGACTTCGCCATAGCACGTGAGCCAGGGCCGACTTCACCATAACGTGTGGCACATTGATCTCTGTTTATCTATGGCTTGGACAGTAGCTGATTGCCCCTTCCCTTGCTGGAGAGGGCTAACACAGAAAGAAAATATTACTTGACTGCTGTTTGCTTGGATTCTTGACCGTTCACTTGTCAAGAAAGTGTGTGTGTGTGTGTAGGTGTTTCCAACAAGTTTGTCGGGAAAGGCCAGTTTCAGACGCACATGCTGCGGCACTTTTACTTGTTTTCCCACCTTTCAGCCATGAACCGGCGGACACCGCCAGGGGTGTCTTTTTCCCCTGGATCCGGCCAAGAACGGATCCCTGGGATGTTTTCAGATTGCAGAACATCGGAATCTCGTGGATTGCAAGGCAGTTGCAGGGTATATGAGCTTGCATAGAGACAGATACACACCACTCCCCGAAGGTTGACCTTGTTTTGTGCGTGGTTTGTTTTGTTGACCATGTTCTGGGTACTATATGCTGTATGTGTTGTGCTTTGCTCATGATAAAGGCTCCTCACAAATGGCTCCTTACAACAAGCTTCCTCTATAGTGCTCCTTACGAGCGTGTTCTTTATAAGAGTTTCCTGTGCCCTTTTGTTGGTCTTGCACTGAGCTGATTCTCTTGATGACAATGCTTGTGAAATCCTTGTGACATCCGGGTCCCGGTTCGAGAAGAAGAAAGAAACCGAGACATTTCGAGAGCTACCAGTCAAGTTACACAAGAGCTGGGTCCCGTAGTGCCCTTTCTCTCCCCTTGGGGAGGGTTCCCCTAACATCTCTCTACTGGACCTAGAGAGATGTCAGGCAAAAGATGTCTTGCTGCAAAACTTTGGTGGGTCCGATGGACGACTCAAGCCCGAGGTCTGCGGAAGTTCGGAAGGTTCATGGCGCCGCGCTTTTTGTTGCCCTTTTTGTCAAGCCACCTTAAAGGTACCCTAAGCAAGCAAAGCTCCACATCAAGGAGCTTCAAGTAAAATCCGCAATGGGGGAGTTCGAGCACCCCAAAACGGCGAGATCGATCTTCAAAGACCTTCCCAGAAGCATAGGGCAGCATAGGTGTCCTTTTTGGTTGTTTTGGTAGAAAAATAGATGGCCCTGGTTTACCTGGTGGTTTAATCATCTACCAGGGCTATCTATTTGCCCTAAAAGGACACCTATGCCCAGAAGTCTTCGAAGGGATTCCACGGTTTCGAACCTCTTCTCGAACCTCTGGCAGGAGAGCGGAGAGCAAAAGTTGGCTTTTCCTGAGTGTTCGTAGGCCGAAAAAAGGAAAAAAAAGAAGATACGACCCTCTTAGATTCCACCGCATGCCACGGGCAAAAGGACTGCCCAGAGACGAATTCGAGGATTTCGAGCCGAAATTAGAGCAGTCCCAAACACAAGAGTAGAACTGTAGAACATTGAGATGTCATTTCTTTGGGGGTGACCTTTGGAGGCTAACACAAAATCCATAGAAACCTCTTTCAGCTATGTCCATCTTGGGGGCTCCGAATCCCGACGATGCCCTCTGCGCTCGCTGCCAGGCATCGCGGAGGGCGGGAAGTATGCCTCCTACATCAAGGCCTCGGTTCAAAGATACCCCAACATGGGAAAGGGAGTTTCTTCTTAAAGTCGGCGGGTTCGGGTCAAAGATAGGCAGCCCCAGGTTTGTGGCCCCTGTGCTCAAGTCTTGGCTCAAACCCCGGAAGTTGACACGTTGCACGTGTCAAAGGGGTGTTGGCCGGAGACCACTTCCCGCGATCCCATGGGAGGAATAGAAGCCTATGAGGTGCTGTGGATCTTGGGGAGCAGGTCCTGCCTTCGGCCTTGATCAAACGGCACGCCAAAAAAAACAGAAAGTCCCCATCTGTTTGATAGACCCTGTGCCAAAATGAGTTGGGAAATTGGGCGTTGGCTCCCAAATTGCTGGGGGGGGGGGGGGTGCTACGTCTACGTTCAGAGCAATTGCGCCGAACAGAATCTAGCTCCAGTGCTCCTGCTCCTTGTATACCTGGGCAATGTTTGGTTTTGCTTTGCAATTGCGATACTCCTTGTAAAGAGCGTCTTACTTCAGGACTGACACAATGAAAGTCAATGTTTTGGGTTCCCATATTTAGTGGCCCCCAAGGATGATCCCTTTTTTATTTGCAGGTCCTTTCTGGGCAACTGCCTGGTATTTCAGGATGAGCAGAATCTGCGAATATGCAGGGCGCGGTCCATTTTAGGAGCTCCCCTTACGTGCTAAAATAACAACCATATGTGTTGTAACATTCTCAAAAAGGACGCCAAAAGGTAATGTTATTCAATTGTCTGAGACCCCCTGGCCCATGGCTGCACCGACCTCCAAATCAATGTTCAATCTATAAACGGAACCAAGGGACATCCGTGGCCCTTTGGCGCCATGGCTAAAAAATGTCCAGGCCCCGAAAAGTGGAAGATGTTCTCACGAAGCGATCTCACGAGATTTGCATTTTCAGGTCCTGTTCGTCGACGCACCTTCTAGGTCCCCCAGTAGTGCCCTTTCTTACCCCCTTTTCACGAAAGCTAGCTTTAGCTAGCTGAAGTTTCTCATTGTGTAAGCAAGGTAAGGGGCTCAACTGCCGAAAGATTGATTTTTTTTCAATTATTTGAGCCGAAAAGATTGAAAAACATCAATTATTTAGACCCCCCCCCCCCCCCTCCCCCCCCTCCCCCCCCCCCCCCCCCTTCCCCCCCCCCCCCCCACTCCCCCCCCCCCCCTCCCCCCCCCCCCCCCTCAGGCTCGATTCCTCCTTGGTCCACCCCTCCCCCCGGACAGTGGCTCAGTGTTTCAGCAGTCTCGGTTTGCCCGTTTTGGACTTGGTGCTACGAACTTTTACATGTTCCACCGATTCAGCTTGTTCATTTGAGACCTCAGTCTTCTCAGCAAACCACCTCGCAAGAATCTTTGCACACGCAGCATGCAGAACCCAGAGGTGCTTTAAGACAGCGTCTGACGCCTCTCGTTGTTTTCATTTTTCAAGGTTTGCCACGCCACCATGAGCGTTTGCGTGTCGCATCCTACGAATCTTGCCGGGCCTCTCGTTGCACACAAGCTACCTATGAATCCACTCTGTCACCGACCCATCTCATGCAGCAACTGCTAGCTTTCGTTCACCCGCTCCTCAAGTTGGGGGTGGAAGATTCCCCTACTAAAATGGACGGAAAAAAAGGGGAAAAAAAGGAAGGGCAAAAACGGGTATCCTTTTCTGACCTCTTGACTGGAGGACCTAGCCTTTGAATTGGACACCGATGTCTCAGGCGGAAGACAGCGCCACCCTTGCGAAGCAGCTCGAAAGCGCGGAGGACGGATGGATTTTTCCCCCGGCCGTGGTCGTTTTTTTGCCAATGGGTTAGTTTCATGGGTGTCCTTTCTGGTTGTTTTGGGGAAAAATCGCATGGCGATTCCTGGTTTACCTGGTGGTTTCATCATCTACCAGGGCCATCTATTTGCCCTAAAAGGAGACCTATGGTTAGTTTGGTTAGACATAGATGGGGTCCACTGCATTCGATTGGCATGCCAATTCCCAAAAACATCCATTTAGTTTTTTTCCGGTTTGGGTCACCTCTGTTCTTTGGTGCATTTTGCCAAGGGATGTTAGGACTTTAACTTCTTGCCAACTCATGGGTGTTTTGTATTACACCGCGAAAAGTTGAACTTTTGGCAGGATAGCAGAAAGCAACCGAGACTTGCAGATGGACCAACTTTGGGGGTGAGGTCTAAAGGGGGGAAGTGTAGGGGATCCCCTGTACTATAGGCAACCCTTCTCCATAGCAGGCAACCCTTCTCAATATTTCTTTCTGTTTTTGAAGGGTGGTTTTTGTTGGTTACCCACTCAAAAAGGTGTAAATGGGCGTTAAAATATGGGACCCCACAAATGGCGGCTTGTGCTTTGGTTTCCGTGTCAAACTACTCCAAACAGGGCTACCTTCCACACAGAACAGCTCGAGGCCGCAAGTAGGCCAAAAGGGTCTTTCCATAGCGTCTTGTGCTTTGGGTGTCTTGTTTCTATTACATTTGCTTCATCTTGGAGCAGTCGATGTGTTGATGTCTTATTTGTTGCTGTTGAATGCGCGTTTTGCTCGTTTTCAAAGAATCTGGGGTGCCCACGTTTCAGGAGCGTTCTTGCACGTTATATCTGCTGTTCGGTTTCGTACACCTTGCGCTTTTTTGTTGAAAACAAACATTCTCCGCAGAAAACCTCGAACCGTTCTTGGCGTCGAATGCTCAATTTCACGTGTTTTTTTTCCCAAGGACCGAGTTCTTGGGGCTCTTCGCCGCGTGCAAAGCGGTTGAACCGGTCCCAGCGCGTGGGTTCTTCTCTCCGCCGCGCCCGGCTCGAGCCGCCCGCTCGGCGCGCGCTCGGCGCGCGCTCGGCGCGCTCGCTTTGGAGGACTGGCTGTACGACCACCCGGACGACCCGAAGGAGGCCTTCGTCGAGAAGCTGCAGGAGCTCAAGGCCGCGTCGCTTCGCTTCGAGTCGCTTCGAGCCGATGGGCTCCGGGGGCTCTTCGGGACCGGTTTTGTTTTTTTTTTGAGCCGCAAGAGGCGGCAGGAATCAATCCGCTGCTTTATGGGGGGGAGTTCCCCTCCATAAGTGATGCGTGCCAGGGACACTCCCCCTAGTAAACTGGGGCTGATCTATATGGGTTCAACATTATCCCAAAAGGGAGGTAAGGGAAACTTCAGGAAAACCAAACGCTCGGGTTGGTGAGCCAGGAAGCCCAAAAGGAAGTCGGGCCCGTTTTGGTAAGTCCCTATGCAGACATCTGATGGAGCCGGCGAGAGCTCTACGAAAGTCGGTGACTTTTCTGTTGCGATTTGGGGCCGTGAGGGAGTTTTGTTCGAAAGGCGGACAATCAAACCCCTTTGTAGTTGGACTTTAAAGGAAAACACAAGAAGCCCACACGCCATGTTAGGAATCCCACACGAGGCTCTGAATCAGTCGGCTTTGAACCCCATCACTTCCAGCCAGCCGATTTCGGCAAATCGGGCAAATGCGGTGGGGTGCTCTCAAGCCAAAGGTCGTCCCTAGGAACTTCCAAACATTCTGAGCATGAAAACCCCTTTGAACCAGGACGGTCCTTCCGATTTTGGGCTATAGGATCCAAGACCAGCCGCCCGGATCTCGCTTGTGAGGAAAGAGGTAACTCCCCCATCGGATGCCGTCCTTTCCCCATCAGACCTCTGGGTCTTCCTGGTGCCAGCTTTTTGGGGCCGCCTTTGGCACTCGAGGAACGCGGAACGCGGCCCATGCCCCACATCCCACCCTCCTGAAAGAGGGAGAAAAAAACAAAGCAGGGTGATCCTCCCTATTTGTTTCCAGAAATATCCGAGGTCGTTCAGAAAACGCACACCAGAAAACCAGAGGGAAACGGCCAGTTGAAAAGACCAATGCTTAAGAATGGAAATGGAGTCAATCGCGACTCCTTCGACAAGCCTAGGCTCCAACTTTTGTCTTCGAGGGAGGTCGCTGTTGAAGGTTGCAAGTGGGTTGGAAACATTGCCAGCAAACTCCAGCCAGGAATACCCTCCTGTCCATCAACATGGAATCTGAAGGGATCTTGGAAGAAGAGTAGACAGTATGTCTCAAAATTGGGGAACCCCCAAAATAGTGGTTTTCCTTTTGGTTTCCCTTGAAGCCAATCTGGAAGGACCCTCCAAAGTCACGCACAGCTTTGGAAGTGCCAAGTATGTCGGCAAGCTGGGCATGTCAAAGCGTCCTAAGGCGTCCTGGACGGTTTTCCTTACGGGTGACGTGGGATCGCATCTGGATTTCTCGTCTCTCCAGGGATAGCCCCCCTTCCATGAGCACACGAAGTAACCTTGGGGATAGGAGCCCCCGAGCCTTGATTCCGGGCGTTTTTCTTGGATTTAGACTCCCCAAAACGGATGTCGGTTTTCCGCTTGGTTTCCCTTCGCCGCAAAAAAATGTGGTGCCCCTTAATAAGGACATACCCACGTGTCCAGATCCTAGGTCAGTTGAATCGCCGGTTGTGAAAAATGGATACGTCGTGTGGGAAATCAGCTCATTCTCAGGGACCTCAGAAAACATCCACGTGTAGCGCAATCTCCTGGTGGTATTGGACCCGTGTTTGTGAGAGGGGTCGATCTGGCCCTCTCTCTCTCTCTCTCTCTCTCTCTCTCTCTCTCTCTCTCTCTCTCTCTCTCTCTTATATTTTTTGCCGTGGGGGGGGGGGCACCCAATTTTGACACATGGTCAAATGGTAGTTCCCCTTGGTTACCTATCAAAAATGGTACCCGCCTGTCTAACATGGAACCTAAGCGAGCGTCCCTTTCCAAGCTGTGTTTTGTTCACGTGTTGTTTCTTCATATGGCAAAACGGCCGAATGGCCGTTTGGCTCAAGTTTTTACCTCCCGTCAAGTGGGAATAGGACTCACGCTCGAGCGCCATTCACTGGCAGCTTTCTTCGTCCTCGAGCCGAAAAGGGTCGGGGCCGCGGGCGGCTGGGTGTAGGAGGTGCTCGGTGGGTCGCGCTGTTCTACTTGGGCTTGGTATTGAACTTAATCCTCTTCAACTTGATTTCAAGCATCCCCATACTTCTCCTTTGTCAACCGTCACTTCCTCAACCCGGTCATCATCCACAGCTTCACCCGAGTTGTGTTTCCGGGTGCTTTGGGTACATCGTGATCTACTTTGTGCTCATTTGCTTCCCTGGGCTACTTCGTGTTCGCCCAAAACCGCAGGTTATCAGCCGTACCAGCTAGAAGCTGGGGCTGGTGATCCGGTTGCGGGACGTGACCCGCTACCTGCTCCCTCGCCTACTTGTACGAGCAATGGCGTCCCCCGGAGCTTCACATCGTGGGCCGGGCTTCGTGGATGACGAGGCCAACGCCCTTCGCGGCAACGCCGCGTCTGCTGCCCCCGGCTTAGACAGCCGGCTGTGGCCCATTCCCCCGATGGTGGGCGCAGAGCCCAATCCCGGGGTGATCACGGACGATTGGATCCTTTCTCAGGTCGTGTTTGATGAGGATGCGGAGGCCCCTATCCCGGCGGCAGTGCTCCAGATCGAGGACGGACCCCCTCTAGAAGAGGCTGAGGTTCCTCCAAATCAGGTGCCCTCGTCGATTTCGCCTACTGTTCCGTTCGTGGCGCTCCAGATCGAAGACCGGGCTGCCCATCATGCTGCTCATCAGGAGCCGGCTCAATCCTGGTCCCTTACATGGGATCAGTTTGACCAGCTCCTCGGCAGTGGATCGCAGGCTACACCGCCTGATTTCGGTCGGCTCGACTTTGACTCGGGCGCCCCCACGTCGGTTGGGAATCTGGATTTTCAATCCCTTTTTGATGCTGATTGGAGATCTCAACCTTCCCGAATTGACAGATCTTTTGATGCCCTGCCTACGCATGAACCTACTCAGGGTTTTCCTCTTGATGGAGAAAATGACCCCATTGAAGATTTCTCCCCTTCTCAAGTTGCAGGTTCGGCCCAACCCGAGGCGGGCAAACGGGCGATTGAGGATTGGCCGCAAATAGCTGGCCTTCCTCCTGTCTCAGGTTCATCCGATATTGACATCATTCACGATCACCCCAGTCCGGCGGATATGGACTTCATCCCTGATGCAGTATCATCTCACTTGTCAAGTACCCGCGACCGGAATGCGGACCGCTACAACGCTGGTCCGAATCCACCGCTTTCCTCAGGTACCCGAGGTCGGGACGCGAACCGCTACAACGCGGGCTCAAATCCGCCAAATCGGGCATCAGGTGCTCATCGATCGGACGCGGGCCGCGAAACAGCAGGTCCAAATCCTTCATCCACTTCGTCGAGAAGCCATGCCGGCCTCTTCGCGGCCTTCAATCGGCATCAGACTCGGAAAGAGTCCGCCCCCGACGTCATCGACCTCGAGGAGCAGTCCAGCCACCGTACCAGCGATGGATCTGAGCAGGATACACCTGGTATTGGCTCTACTCCCTTCGACCTTCTCGACATCCCCTTCCATCAGCCACCCAGGAGAGGAAATGAAGATGATGAAACCATCCCTGGGATCCTCGATGTAATCGATGAGGCCGAGGTCACACCAGAGAGACGAACGACATCGCTCCCGATGTCTGAGAAGGAGACTGATGACGGGATCAACTCTACGCCCAGGAACCGGAGACCTGGACCTAGCACTGTTGCCCCTGGAAATGGGGGGCTTCCATCAAATCAACCGGTCAGCAACTCCCTCATCCCCGCATTCTTTCAAATCGGAACTCCGGGCTGCACTCCCGACAGGGAAGAAAATAGGCGCGGAGCTCATGACGCTGATAGTCGTTCTGCTCCGTCTGCTTCCACAAGTGACGGCCATCCGGTTGCATCTGAGCTTCAGCGACTGCTTCTCGCGATCCACAACGAGGTCAAGGGATGCAAGGCCGAAATCCAGGGATGCAGAACTGAGATTCGTTCATGCAGGGATGATATCAACGTTTGCGTCGGTGAAATCAAGAAGATCAATAACCGTGTTGACGCCTTCGAGAAGAAGGTTGAATCATCTTTCTCTGCCGTTGCCGGAACCCTCTCAAGACATGAGGCCAAGTTCCGTGATTTCCACGAGTGGGTCGCCCGAAGCGAGAAGGAGACGAACGAGCGTTTCAAGATGTATGATGAGAGGTCTAACTCGATCGTCATATCCGCTGCTGAACTTCGCGAGCAGGCCGAATCACTTGAGAACGTCAAGGTCCAGCTCCTTAGGTTCTCTGAGATCGGGGCCCTTGAGGCTGAAGTTCGGAAAATCAAGGACGAAGTTGAGGCGAACTCTCGCAGTGTCATCGACATTGAGGGAACCATCTCAAGGGAAAGAACCATCCGTGGGAACGTCGAGACGTATATCCAGCAGCTCGTTCCTGCGACCGACCTGAAGCAGTTCAGTGATAGGATGTCCGGAGCCCTCAATGAGAACTCACAGAAACAGGAAGAGTTCAAGCATCAATTGTCCCGTGTTGCTAGGTGCGTCAAGGACCTTCATGACAAAAGCCTAGGCCCCTATCCGAGGGACATGCAAGAGCAGTTTATGAAGCTTGTGTTGAGGGTCAATGAGCATCTTCAAGTGCTGGCGCTGCTTCGATCGCCGGGACGGGGCCCTGGGAGAAATCTGGAGACACTGATCCCTTAACCCAGGGAAGGGCTCCTAGAGGTTCTCCTCCTCGTGATGCTCGCATCGTCAGCTCGGCGAGACCTCCTCCACCTCCACCTCCTTCAGGGCCACCCCCACCGTCACCATCAGCCCCCATCTTTGGCAGGGATCCCTCTAGAACGAGGGCCGTTGCTCGAGCTGCCGGCGCTGCTCCTGATAACCGGGCCAGGTGCGCTCATGAGGAGCCCGGGCATCCACAGCATCGGGAACCTCGCTATCCATGCCGAAGCTGCGGCAAGTCAGTCTGCGAAGACTGCTTTGACCATGATTGTAACTCATGTTTCAAATGTAGCGATCAGTTTCCTAGATGCCGCGCATGCAG